TCTCTCGAAGCAGAACCAGCAAGGTAACCAGCAATATCCTCACTAAGTCCCCTGCGGAACTTAGCAGCCAAGACTGTAGGGGTAGGCCTCGCCATCCTGAAGTGTGAAAACTTCACCAGCTCATTGAACTTGGCCAGGTACTCGTCAACAGACAACGAGCCCTGAACCAACCTGTCAAACTTCCCTTGCTTCCTCTCTTGTGCATCGTACGGGTAGTACTGACCCAGAAAACAATCCTCGAAGAACGGCCACGTCATCACACGGCCCTGCATCGTGTAGGCATGAGAAATTTTTGTCCACCACTCATGGGCATCGCCCTCCAGCATCTAAGTAGCGAACATCAGCTTCTGCGGATCTGAACACTGCATGACCCGAAAGATCTTGTCTAGCGCCTGAAGCCATCTTGCAGCAGCAATGGAATCATAAGACCCATCAAAAGTAGGTGGCTTATGCTTACGGAAAGCATTCAGTCGGCGATCAATCGCATCTCTGTCCTCAGCGGGCTCCACAAAGGGTTCCATCACCCCCAACATCATACGTAGCACTACCAATGTGACTCAGGATCTCATCCTGAACACTAGGTGGAGGCGGCGGTGGTGGCGGTGGGAACTGACCAACAGCTGGACCAGCTCTCATCTCCTCCAACATGGCCCTCATCAAGGTCATGTTCGCCAATCGATTTGCCTCAAGAGCACCCTTCGTGGCCTTCTGGTTCGCTTCTCTAGCAGCGTCCATCATTGCCACGTTGGCCAATCTAGTGGCCTCCTGCATCTCAGCCAATGCAGTCAGGATTGGATCGGGTTGATCCTCAGCAGTCTCACGTGTTCTCCTGGACCCTACCATGACTCTGCACAAGTTACACAATTTATGAGTTGATCAGGCCCACGCAATGTGATCACATATGCATCATCATAATAACAACCAACGGAGCAAACACACAAGACAGACACAACCAAACATCTTAATCATTGTAATACATACAGGCTTTTCCCCTGAACCGTTGCTCTGATACCATAAAATGTAACACCCCGTGTATACCCGGAATATTATCATTACATCGTATTAAGCTGCGCTTAATTAAAAATTGCGGAAAATCTTTTTCTTTTCTAATTATGACGTCATTATACTTAGCCAAGTTGATTACTTAATCAATTTCATAAAAACAATGTCTGTATGTAAATTGCAAGACAACTAAGTGTAATACCTCCATATAAAATATAAAGCGAGTATCTAACTCACGGTATTACATCACGTAATCCGGACGATATCCTGATACACTAATACAACTCTAATTAAAACAAGACATAACAAGTCTACGTGGCATGGACAATCCTCATCCTCACCAAAACAACAGCATAAACGACAGAGTCTCAACGAGATAATCCAAAATCATAAAATGAAGCTAAAAGCATAAAAGCAGCAAGCATATCCAGCATCCAACATGACAACATATAATATCATCAATATCTAACTCAGCTCCAGCCTCCTGCCGCCTGGGGTCTCAACCCCCACATTACCTGATCCTGAAATAAGCATTCCCCAAACGTGGGGTGAGATCTCTAAACTAGAAATCTCAGTAAGACAAGGGGTCATCAAGGATCTTCCACCACAAGCTCACTTACATATGCAATATAAGTTCTAAAAGCATTAATATCAATACCAGTTCCAAAACTATGCAGTGCAACAGATATTCATGCCATGTGTGTTTAAACTATTCTACTGGCCAGAGAAATACAGGAATACGTCTATCACCCACATGTAGTACAAGGAACACCGCTTGCACCTCACCCACAGCCTCACCATGTTGTATGTACCAAATACTCAGGCTTACCGTATAGGTGGAACACCACATGCATATCATAAAGGCACTAGCATATAACAGCTCAATAGCATTTTCAAAATATCAAAAGCATGTAACACAGCATGCATATAACCATACCCCCATGGGACATGGTGGAACCACAACATGGCTAAACCGAGAACACGAAAGCTTACCTTGCAAGCTCACTATCCAATGCCAAGAGTCCTCACAGCTCAAGTTCAACACACAGCATATCACAATCTGATTTAGGACTAGTAAGTATATCAACATACATAGCTCAAAAGCATTAACATAAAGGCTACATTTTCCTTTTACGATTTACGTCTTAAGGCTTCCAACAAAGCCACAAGCCCTTAATCACATGATTCTGACTTAGTTTATTAAATACAGAAGTTCAACTTCATCAATCCAGGGTCCACAAACCCCCAATAGCCTACTGTACACACAACACAGCTACTGTTCTACGAAATCCCATAATATCCGGATATTCCTCGGGGACATATCCGGATATCCAATATCCAGATATCTCATTGTACATATCCGGATATCAATATCCGGATATCCAGATCCCCATATCCGGATATCAATATCCGGATATCCAGATCCCCATATCCGATATCAATATCCAGATATTTCACGATCAGATATCCGGATATTTCACGACAGAATGCAGTTTCTGCATTTCGTGAAGATATCCTTCCAAGGTTCCATTTTTACCGATTACAGAAGCTTAAACATGCATTTCTAGGTGTGTTTGACATTTCCCAACATTAGGTTATCATCTTTTAACCATTACATGCATCAAAGTTTTATTTTTAGCATGAAAACTCAAGTTCAAGTGTGATGATCATACCACAAGCTCAAAACAGAGAATGAAGGTGCTCTTGGAGCTTTAACACAGCCCCTCAAGTCTGACTCAGAGATGTGCACGAAAAAGCACCACAAAGGTTGGTTCTTTAACACCAAAGGCCACCACTTGGACCTCCAAATGCCAAAACAAAGCTTCTCACAACCCTAAACCACCAAGTTAGAACCAAATCTTCCTCACACAGCCCTTCAAACTCGGAAATGACACACCTTCAACACTCACAACACACTACCCTAAGTGTTTGATGAAGAAACCAAGAAGAAAGATGTCTTCTTGGCCCTCAAAGTGGTGAAAAAGAAGGGAAATGGCAATGGAACAGTGTTTCTGGTCAGCCACCAACACAAGCCACGTACATGAAGTATGATCCTAGGGTTTTGTGCCCTCAAAGAGTATTTATAGGCCACTTAAACATAAAACACACAATATTAACTTTAATTGCTACGCTTAGCATTTTAATTCCAAACTCAGGATTCTTAATCTACTCAATTTTACAAGAATTATCATATTTTTATTATATTTTTCGGAGCACATTTTCGGTACGCGCTTTTCATAGCCAGTATCAGTTTCTGGCACCAGTTCTCATTATTTTAACTTGAAACTCGTTTTACAAGTCCTATATATTATTCTAGGAATTATCATGCACTTATTATAATTTTCTGGGATACTTTTTCGGTACGCATTTATACCGACTAGCAGAACCGGTATCTGCACTTTTCTTCCGAAAAATGACTTTCAGCATTCTTAATCACTTATCCTAATTATTAAAGCCTCTTAATAATTATTAGGGTCAATTATGGAATTATTTCCTAATTTAACATATTTAATTACTTAATTTCCTTAATTAACGGTGTGGGTTCTTACAAGTCTCACACTGGTTGCCTATACAACAAATGTGGAGTTTATAAGGTCTTGGGCACTCCCACCCTTTGAGCTAGCTTTTGGAGTTGTGACCTCAAGGTCCATAACAATGAGGCACCGTGAACGTCGGCCCCTTAAAGAGGGTGGCAATATTACGAGCGCCACATGGTTGCTTATACAATTAATGTGGGGTTTATAAGGTCTTGAAAATTCTCACCCTTTATGTTATCTTTTGGAGTGGTAACCTTAAGGTTCGTAACCGTGAAACACTTTAGTTTATCACTTTTTTCGAGCATTTAAATTTATGAATCAGCCAAACCAAAACTTAGCTTTGACCAAATGAAATTTTGTCCTTAACTAAAAATGAAAATTATGATTAATAGAAATGCTAACAACACACTGTTTGACATATTTTATCTAACGTACTCTTTACTATAGGTGAATTTCATGCATGTCTTATTAAAAAAAAGTGTAGGCTCAAGTTATTTAGTAAAACTCACATAAAATTCCTACAATAATAAAGAATGCGTTGAAAAGAGTATATTAGTAACGTTTCTCTCTTAGTTAACCCTGAAATACTTACTGATATATATGCAGTGAAGATGCTGTGACTCTAATCAATGGCAAGTAATCTTTGATGTTCTTTTCATCAGAGAAGAACGCAGGTAAAGAGTGTGTGCCGATGCTTGCAGCTTTCACTTAAACAAATATTCCAGTTCTCTTGATTTTACGTTAATTATTGCTTGATTGAAACCAATTTTAGATGACATTGCACACTAAAACATTTTCAATGTTATCTGTGGCACAACCTTAAATAATTTGGCTGGATGCTCCACCATCTGGCTCTTGCCTTTTCTATTGTTTACAATTGCATACGTATTCATATCTTTCCTGTGGCTGAGTAATTCTACCAAGTTCTTTTCAAGGGACATGCTCTCCCTAATATAAAAAAAATACATGAGTTAAGTTACTTTTTTAACCGAAATCAGATCAACATAATATTCATGGAACATAAGCAAAAACTGAATATAAATAGGGAACACACTGAGGTGAACTGTTGGTAAATTGACTTGTTCCAATTTCGAATTTCTTTTAAGTAAATTGAAAATTGGTTATGATCATCAAATACTGTTCTTCCAAAATGTTGAACTTGCTTAGGCATTGAAGGCTTACGATTTTCAATACTAAATTATCAAACATTTAATTAAATATTGATTAGTTTGAAAATAACCAATATAATATAATTGATAATTCATGATTTAACTTGTAGTGGTTAAGACTTTTGCTCAATGCTTGAAATAAATTGAGGACCCAAAATTCCCATTATTGATAGAATTGAGTAAAAGAAATTGCTTATGAACATCACAAATTGTTGACTTGGGTTGATTTATCTATGTATTCAGGTTTATGCCAAGTTTTTTTTTTTTTTTTTTGTATAATATAAACTGTTTTTAATCCCTTATGTATAAAGAAACGATTTCCTTCACACTTAAAGGAACAAGCTCCAAACAACTAAAATTTAAAACTACAAATTATGGAAACTGGCTAGAAAAAATCTCGCAATTTGCAAAAACAATTACATCAATTAGCACAAGATTTTTCTCTTAAAGCATTTGAAATAAGTTGAATGGTGGAAGGTGTAGTCCGGCAACAGCCTCCTATTATTTTAGCTCCCAAATCACGCCATCTGGTTGCATTGAGTCCAAAATCTTCATCGTGAAAACAATTAGATGGCTGTCAATTCAAACAAATAGGAAAACACACTTGATTAGCATATGAAAAACAGATTCATGGGCATGTGTGTATGTGTGTGTGAGAGAGAGAGTGAGAGAACCCTGACTTACCAGCCATTTCTTGGCTCTACCATCCCATACCTCCCCACTATTAGGATAGACGATGATTGCCTTTTTTGTCAACTGGAGGGATAAGATTATAAACTTTTCATTATCTGACAATGAACACAAATTCAAGTATTCAAACTAATGACATGAGAATTAAAAGTTACCAGCTTGAATTTGCAGATGAGATTATCCATAAAATGAGGGGGTGCACAGTTTATACCAACTGCATCTACTTTGTTACTCTTATTTATTACTTCAAGGCAGTCCTTGAAACTCTCTCCTGAGGGAGCATTCTCACCATCTACTGAGGTAAAACAGATCCAAGATGGGATTTGGACACTTTCCTCATCAAGCAATTCAACACAAGCCTGCAATACGATATTTTGATAATGAATACCAGAAAAGCTTCCCAGATTGTAGAATTGTAGAAGTTAGAATTGAATAGACAAAAATAAAAAAAAGTTCAGCTTCATAGTGAAAGAATTAGAAACAGAGCATTAGCAATCTTAGAAATGATTTTATAACTTAAAAACGTTAGGCTAACAATTCATAAAAAATCTTAATCATAGAAATAGCTTTCCCAGGTAGCTACACACTACCAAGACTTCTATTTCAATCAAGATGAATGACTACCTGGTCACTAGAAAGTCAACACAACTTTCCTTTTTGTATAAAAATATAAGTGTTTCATCTCAACATTACTGATAATACCTATGCTCAATAATTGAGAGGCTAAATGATTCATTGGGACGAATGTATAAGGAATTGCAGCAGGCAATGAAACAATTCAGAGATGATCAGGCTGGATATTTTCTAAGAATAACATAATAATCCCTAAACAGCTATATGCTTCTTCATTCTGCATCACTTAACCATTCTTCCATGGAAAACTTCAAAACTATGAAGAATTTTTACTTTGGGTCCACCTTAATTGATTGGAGAGTGAGATATAATCAAGGAATTCTTAAAGCACTAGCAAAATTGATATTAATGAATAATGCAGTATTGAGAGGAAAGATATTGTCACATGAAATCAAAGTTGTGCAAAGGACTAAGTTATGAATAGGTGAGATTAAATAATAAATAATTTGTACAAAAAAATTAATCATGGTTTGGGTGCTTTGTTTTCTTAGATACATGATTAGGTAGATTAATCATTATTAGCCTGCTGGTTTGGTGATCGTACCCTGTTTGTTTATTTTATCATAGGCTCCTGAAATCAACCTAAAACAGCAGGGTCATGGTTTGCGTGCTTTGCCTTTTTCTTCTCTAGGTCATTGCTAATTTCGGGTTGTTGCGCATACATTGACATTCTTGCGGGTTTTACAGATGAGATATTCCTCAAATTTAGGATCCAAAATGAATACATAATGCAGCATAAGAAAATTGGCATCTTATGTTTCCTGTGAACTATTACTAAATTCCACACTAAAGCTGGATCAGAATTTATTTTATGAACAAATTCCAAGACATAAAAGTAGTTTAAACAAGGAGAAAGAGATACCTAAGAATTATAGATTAGAACTGCATAGTACGAGGACAAAACATGAATGACAGTATTTTTCAATTTTGATTTCGATGCTTTTTTTATTATCAAGTTTCAAACATTTCATGTGTTTGGTGTTCCTTCGATTGCTATGATGCAGTCTTGAGGACTACATTGCTACAAGTACAACAGTGCCAAAGAGATTACACTACATGAAATTGAACAAAATTTACAAAATAAACAAAACTCATAGTGAGTATATTTCTAGGATTCTAAGAACCAAAACAGTAAGAGACATGATCAAATACTAATGGTTTTGACAAAAATATTGTGAGAGTAGTGGAAAAATTACAGGATAGAAGAATCCTAGTTTGACGGTGCTCCTAAGATTTAAAATATGGTCCAACAATGATATACATACTCTGTATTGGTTTGCATTAATTTTTGTTTAAGGTATTACTGTAAGGTATACTTCTCTATGAAACATGTTTATTGGCAATGGGAAGAAGAAAAAGAAAAAAAAGACCTGAGCTTCAAGTTTGTTTGGTATGGTCTCAAAAGCGAGCAAATCTGGACCAGCTTCAACAAGAATTTGCAATCTGCGGCGGTGAAAATCCTTCAACTTCTCCAAATTCACATCTGGTCCATAGCAGCCACTACAAGAAGATATTAACATGAAAAAGTCTGCAAACATACTGAAATACACAAAGCAGTTCCTCTGCAGGATTGACAGAATCAAATTGTCAAACTTTAAGTGTAGAAGCACCTGTATTCTGAGCCATCGGCAAGGTAAGCTCCATAGCTTCCAATGGAGGCCGCAACCAAAGCTCTCCTATATTTATTTCCAGGGTTTGTTTTAGCCAAATTCCAGAAACTGTCACGAGCTTCAACTGCCAATTTGACACTCCTCTCTAATAGCAATTCCCCTTCTTCAATGGACAGACCCTTGGACAAAAATCCAGGAAGGGTAGCCTATAATTATGGACAAAAAATTTATAAGAAAACGATAAAATTGCAAACACTGCATATATTAAGTTATTAACGTGTGAAAAATCAATGGTCCTGAACTTTTCTGCTCCAAAATATGTTTTCAACCTTGGAACAACAGCTTCAACTACCGGAAGCAATGAATGTAGAAAATCACAAGCAAATTCTTCATACGCTATGTTAATAGTAGGCAGCATAGAAAGTACTCCTATTGTTTATTCCAAATCCTGGGGTTCATACTAACTTATGAACCTCAAGAGTATGATTAAACCACAAGATTCCCTATACTCATGAATTTCATATTCACTTGATAGCGACAAGTGCATACATATTATTATCAGGTCCATTTGCAATTATTCATGTTGTGTATAGATCCATAGTATACACCTAGAACTAGATTACAAAATAAGCATGAGCAAACAAACCAAATTTAACTTATTAGGCACACATTTATCTAAATTTCATGGCAACTTCCAACATAACTATAGAGACATCACCAAGCAAAAGCTTTTGGAAATAAATCGCGGCATTGCTTCCCCATCATCATGGAAGAATATTCCTTGCCAACATAAACAGCCCCAAAACACAGACTTCCCTACAGCTTCAAATATTGGTCCAACGCAGAAAAATAAAAATAAAAAATAAAACCAAAAATTCACATGGCTGTGTGCAAAGTCCCAATTTTTTACCTGGTAAGATGAAGTAACCAATATATCTGCACCAGCCTCCAAATACTCCAAGTGAACCTTAAAGAAAAATAAAAATAAAAAAATCAAATCAAGATTCATCATCACATAAAAATGTAAAACAAAACCCAGGTTTATGAAGGGACCCAAAAAAGAAAAACCTGCTTGATAAGAAGTGGGTTTTTGATCAAACAGATAGCACTCCAAAGAGGGTCATTGATGAAAGCTCCATGCTTTTCGAGCTGTGTGGCGAATCCTCCATCTGTAACAGCACAACCACCTGCACTCTCGATCAGATCCTGCAACAATGGCTTCTTCTCGCTCTTCACGTTACACATCTTTTCTCTTCGACGACAACGTTTCTGTGCGGCGATGATTTCAACTGAATAGAAACAGAGCACGTTACAACGTCAGAGACAGTGCCCTATTAATGTCTCAGATGACATGGCGAGTTGTTGGGAGATGTTGGTAAGTGTGAATATGGACGAAATAGCATTCAGGTTCTTTTTCAAATGAATAAACAAAGTTGATATTGCCACTTATTATTATATTATCCATAAATTCCAAAATATTTGTTGCCTAAGATAATTATGTACGAATTTATTAAAAAAAATTGATCATACAAAATAAAATTGCATTTAATTATTTTTTATTAAAATATCATAAATTAATTATTGCGTTTGTTAATTTTTTTAGTTGAAATAAGACAAAAAAAAAAGAGTTGAATTTTGTTACTCAATTTTGAACTTTGACCCCAAAATAGAACCATATTATAAACTTTTCTCATTTCACACGACTTGGGGTTGAGTAGATTCAAAGTTAGGTACACAACCATGTTTCACGCCGTTTAACAAGAGACCTTTAAATAAAGAGAAAAAACATTATTTATATCTTGAACAAATAATTATGAGGTAATTGATTATCCAATAACAGTAGACATTAAAATGCCTCGGTCGAACCAAGTGTGGTGTTTCAGTTGGTAGTACGGGAATAGAATGGTGGGAGAGAATCTCGGTTCGAATCTCACTAACACCATCTGAAGAGGGGCATAAGTACTGTAATCATTGGACTCACACCCGAACTCTGAATTAGTTTCATAAGCAGCTCAAAGAGTCGAACTAGTGAAAATATCATAGGATTTTGATTTGCCTCAAAGAAGTAATTAGGATTACTTAAAAAAAATGCCTCGTTCGGTCGTGTTACTTTCATTAAAAAAAATACACATAGATTAAAATTTATTTGTTTCCAGCGCATTCTCTCTCCCAATTGGATTGGTCCGTCGCAATGGTTGAGTGATGCGATCGTAGCATCTTAAAAATTTCGCTGCCGAAGATACAAAAATACTGTGGATCCAATCACTTTTTTTAAAAAATAAAGATGGCACAATTTTTTGTGTTTCTGCAGATATGTTTTTCTCTAGCAATAGGAAAAAAACATACCTCAATAATTATTGGTAAAAATGAAATTTAGTTTGCGAAATTTGAGTCAGGAAACCGAGTTTGTTGCAAAAAGACATTGAGGGAGCGTTTAGTTGAGGAGAAATTTTTGAATATTAAGGAAACGTAATTGATAGGAAAATGGTTGGAAAGTGAGTTTGGTAAGAAAATATTAAAAAAGTTGTTTGGTTGAAAAAAAATTTACTGGACAAATTAAATAAGATTTATAAAGTTTATATTTGGTTTAGGATAAAATATAAATAGAAAAAAAAGTTGATTTTACGAAAATAACCCTGATTTTTTAAAAATCAACAAACTCTGGTTTTGTACTCAACGCTTGCTTTGCTGAGGAACTCAGCTTTGAGCTTCTCTGTTCTTGTCATAGCATTCATTTTTTCAACTTCTCCCTGCAACTCTGCTTCTCTCGGTGCAACAGCCTTGGTGGCCTCCACCTCCGCCACCTTTTCCCACATAGCTTTTTTCTTAGCAAGCTCAGAATTTGCCTCTGCTTGCCTCCTTTATTTCCTCCTTCATCAATTTTCGTTGCAGAGGTACGTTGGTCATATTATCAAGTAAACTGTTTAGCTTTAATAACCGCATCAATAAAAGTAAACTGTTTGTCTTTCTTCGCCGACGAGGGTAAGTTGGTCTATATTTAGTTGTCCATCTTGCATTTAGCCGGTTAACAACAAAATACCACCTTCAATATGTCTTTTGTAACAGTAACTTTTCCTTGCTTTTTACAAACATTTCGAAAAAGCTATGCAAATAAAAGAGATGAGAAAATACTTAAAAACTCTATACCAAACATGGACATCACTCTTCCCCACACTCAGATGCATAGGAAATTTTTTGAAAATCCTCAACCAAACACTACCTGAGAAAATTATTGGAGAAATATTTGTCCTTTTAAATAATATAATTTGTGTCATTTCACTCTCTTCTTCTTGATTTATCTCTTTCTCTCACTTAAAGTTATACAATTTTACACCATTTAAAATAATACATATTTTTCCTTAAAATTATTTATAACTTTAAGTTGTTAAGAGTGCATTTAAGAAGAACTTGATTTTCTTAAACCAAAAATCAGATTTGATAACTTAAAATTCAAGGATTAGAGAACTTGACATACAGTTTTTATACAGGTTCACGCCAAATCACGCGAGCTATGTCCAAATTCTTAGCAATGATAATGATTTTTCGTTTAAGAAAATCACGTGAGCCATGTCCCGTCATGTTACGCTGTTTGAAATTGAGGCAGAAGTTTGATGTGGTATACTTACAAGCAAAAATTTCTAAATTGAATAAAATCTCAATTAATCGGAAACCGAAAAGACGTTTAAAAATAAAGTAGCAATCACGGTCCCTGTTCCCCTTGCTAAACGTTTATGCAAGAATTGTGTAAGTATATGTAATCACAAGTAATATAGGATCTTTAAGTTTTAATTATTATTCCTATAATAATCTTTTGGCGAAAAGTTCAAAGGCATAAAGTGCAATTGCTTAAAATTGAATTTCTAAATAATAAAAATAAACACAAAACTACTCTGAAATAGCACTGAGTACGATACTATTTTTATTTTAGAATTTTCTGAATCAATTTCTTGAGCTAAAGGATAAAAAACAGTAGGAAATCAATTTAAGAAATGTTTTGTCTAAGATTTGATGTAAAAACTTTTTATAAAAAAAATTGTAAAAACAGAAAGAAGAGTAAATTCTAAATCAGAGAAAAAAAGAAATGAGTTGGAGAAAATCTTTAGAAAAATAGATTTGGTGAAAATTCTAAATTGTAATTAGCATTGGAAGAAATGCTAATTACATATTGCTTGATTTTAATTCCCAGTTAACGGATCACTTTTGTTAATTTTAATCTCTTAAAATCATTTTATCCACAACCTTCATTCACACATGTATGTGCTAAATGCAGTGAGGATTCTTATATTTCAAGTCTAAAGTTACATGGTGGCTGCCCTCATCTCTAAGTGACAGCCCTTGAAAGATATCTCATTCAAGCCTATGTGCTTAATGCATTTTCCAGAATTAGTCACCTCTCGATAACTACTTTCTAATACAACATCTAACATCAGACCTCAATGCAAAATGTTTAAATAACAAGCATGGCATTAAACAACTGAGAATTAAAATTGAACAACAGTAGTTAGCAAGAATTCAACACTGAGGTTCGGGTAATCTAGACCCAACCTTTAAAGGTTTAGCTCATACCCATAAGGGTTGAGCTACAAAACAGCAAACGAAAATTAAAAGAAAATTACAACTCAACTAGAAATTACTATGCATAAGCTATAACCACAAATAGCTCTGCTATAGTGCTCAGAAAAAATAAAATCAGACTTCTCAGAAAAAAAATTCTCAACAAGAATAAAAAGAGGAAGAAGAAAACTCCCTACAGTGACATTCTTCCTTCTTTTATATCTGCTTCTTTTGCATGTGAAAGCCTTGTGACCCTTGCATCAACTGGCACGTGCTACACGCTCCTCCCAATCGTGTGATTCCCTTGCAAAGGTAGCAACCATACTCAAAAAAATGCTTCAGCTAACAATCCTAACAAACTCTAGCTCACTCAATCAGTTATGGGTAGTGTTTGGCATTTTTCTTTTTCTTTTTAAAGGAAAATGGAGATCTGTAGTTAAGAGATGGTTAGGGTTTGAAGAGGGCTTGACGAAGAGAAATAGGACCTCAAATATGATACCCTTCTCTCACCCTTTTTCTTTTCTTTTATGCTTCTGCCTTCCCCAAATCGCAATTTTTCCAATATTGCCCTCCACATTGTTATTTTGGGCTGATTTTTGATTTGCAATTTAAGGCCCACTTCAGCTCATCTTTTTCTTTACCTTGGGAAATCAATTTTTAACCTTGATTTGTTAGCCTGTATTGTCAAAATAGAATCTATTACTTCAACATATCCACATATAAGCTTTAATGTAAATAGGGTTAAAAATAACACAATGTATTCTTTTTTCTACATTTTATTGTCAGCAATTATGTGTTTTAAGTCACATTTTATGAACTTATCAGTCCTCTTAGCAAAACCTACACGCACTACTAAAGTGACGAAGCAATTGAAGATAACCGTAGGTCCGTAGCAAAAGAAAACGATAATTTGACACTAGGAATATAAATAGGCTCGACTGGACTTTGGTTTAAATAAGTGTAAAATATTTTAGGCATAGCCTAGTCTGTTAGTCTTGTGTAGATTCAAATTATAAATCTAATCTAACCTATACTTAAAAAAAAATTGACCTAGGCATATTAGCGTGTTTAAGCCTATTAGACATTTAATAATTAAAAAAAAAATTAATATTATTTTATTATTCAAAATCATTAAAATAATTTTATGTATTGTATTTAAAATAAATAATATGATATTGGTAGGCTTATACGTTTATAGGCCCGACATGTAAAAGAAAGTATACGACATGCTTTCTAAATAGGTTTTTTTAAAAGTATGAGTCTATTCTATTTGACTATATACAATAAGTCAAGTCTGACCTAAGTTAGCCTGGGCCGTAAGTCCCTGTTAGGTTGTCTGCCTCATTTACACCCTTATTAACAACTGTATAAATACGAGTCACCTTAAATTAGTGCACGCTGCCAATGATGAGTTGATTGTAATAATTTTTTTTGGATGTGAATCTTCTTATGTTAAAAAATATAACATGGTCGTATAAGGAATCATAACTATATAAAAGTGGATTAATTGTAAAAAAAAGAGAAAAAATATTAAAATAGGTAGTTATAAAATTATCATTGTTGATTTACCTTTATATGATTGTGATTTTTTCATATAACCATATCATATTTTTTTAACATGAGGGGATCTATTTCCTAACTTTTTAATAATTTAATTTTGACACTTATTTTTATAAAATATTTAAAAAATTATATAGAATCGATTAGTTCAAGAGTATATGAGAAACTTAGCACCACACATTTTTGCTTATCACCATCTCTTTTTCATAGATTTTATTTTTTTATTTTTTGTTTTTTTAATTTTAATTTTTTTACTGTATGCAGATATATACTCTTATTTGATACTTCCTTTTGATATTTTCTTATTATCAGTATCTTGTTTTGATCTAAATGTGTGTTCTTAGTCCGCAGAATCCTTTGGTTTAGTATTGTTGCTGAGTACAGCAATGTTTTAAATCTGGGAATTAGGAGCATAGTATGCTTGGACTGAGGAATATACATGCTGAGAAGGAATCTTCAAATTCAGGGGAGATATCTCAAACCTTTGAAAAAATAGAATTTTTTTTTTTTACTTTTTAGTTTTCTGTTCTACTGGTACAGGTGTCTCTGAATGTTTTTCCAAAATAGCATGAGCTTAATTGGTTAATAAATGTGAATAAACTCTAGGAGGCACAAGTAAAACTGTGAGAATTCAAAATAATTTTTTATGTCATGACATTGCATTGAGTATTATCTAGAGAATATGACTGCTCCTTTGTGTGATTTTCTTTTTGAGAAATTTTAGATAAAGCTTTAATGTGGAAATTAGGAATTAGATTCTAGCTTGAAGCCACAGCCTGTGAGGTTTGAGCCTATATAGTTAATTTTTTTTAGAGGCCTCACTGTAGTGATACTCTAAAACTTGATCTGTTTCTCTGTGATGCATGCACAAGTTGAAATGATAAAGACATTTTTGTTCTTGTTAACCACTTGGCCAAATAGCCCACCTGAAAAGAATATATATATATATATATATATATATATATATATATATATATATCTATTTTCCATTGCTAGCCCCTTTGAGCCTTAGACTGATTTTTGTTCAATTTCCTATAAATTACTTAGCTTATATTCCTGTTGACTCACCCTTAAATGAGATTGAAATACTGATCAAAGAAAATTTAAAGTGAAGTGCTCCATTGAAAGTTAAGTGATAAAAAGGAAAATGTACCTCAAAGGAAAAATAAATCTGTCTGAGAAGAAGATGTGCAAAAGAAAAAAAAAAAGAAATTGTGAAAGAAAAATTCTGCTTGAATTGAAAAGGTGGAAAAAGGAATAAAAATCTTGAATTAAAAGGAAGAAGTAGTGAAATATTGTTTGAGAGTTGACTGAGCCTTGAATTGACTTAAATGTGTTTCAATCTCACACAATAAAATTAGCTACTTTCCAAATATTCATACCCCTAAACCAGGTCACATTACAACCCTGAAAAGACCTTTTTATCAATTTTTGCATGTTATCTATGTTCCTTGTCTTTAGGAACTTGAGAATAAGATCAAGCCTATGGTAGTGCTATTACACTAATGGAAACACTTGAGTGATGAGTGCATTGTTTATCTTAGTGAGGGGTATTCAAGTTAGATTCTAATTTCCTTTTTGAAACTGAAAAGTCTTGTGTGAAATTCTAAACACTGAAAACCATTCATGCATAGCATAGTACTCTCATGGGCTTCTGCTCTAAATTATTTGTTTTGATGTAATGTTATGCTTGAATTTTATATGTCTCTTTTCACAAGGTTACGTTCTTGCTTCATAGTGTTTATTCTAATTTATTGCTTAGGACAACAATGTCTAAATCTTGGAATTGTTTGATGAGTCTCCAAATTATTATATATTAAAGGTTAATAAGAGCATGAAATTGATTTAAAAGTAATTAAAAGTTATGAGAATTATAATTAAATTGTTATTTTATTCTCAATAATATTCTCATAAGATTTCTGATATTTTGCAGTAATTTCAGCTCAATAAAGAGATAAATTGGAGATATCAAGTAGAGTTGCTTTGGATTTCTGAATTATTCAAGATCTTATCAAATCTTTGTTGAATATTTTAAGGAAAATTTTCCATTAAATAAAAAAGAGAAGATTTGAAGGATTGAATCAAAGATATGATTAGAGATTCTACTGAAGATTCTATGAAGATTCAATCAAGATTTCTAAGCAAGGCATAAGCTCTATAAATAGAGACTCAAACCTCACAGACAAACAATCTTTGGCTAGGGAGAATTCTTGGAGGCTCACACTGGAGATCAGGATTCCGACGGAGTTGAAGAACGAAGATCATTGATCCTTCTTCTTCTTCTTCTTTATTGCTTTTATGAATTCTTTTAATTTGTTAAAGCCAGATATGTCTGGCTAATTTCTTTTTTGTAGTTGGGATCACAGACCCGATGTGAATCCTTTATATTTTCTTTATTGTTTTTATAATTTAATTAGTTAGTTTGTTTTATTCTACCTGTGTTAATTTTTTCATATCCTGTTTAGAACTGATTACTCTAAATTATAGGGCTTTGAGGGTTAGGGCTCACAATAGACATATTGAGGTTTTAATCTGGACAAGGGTAGGATAACAATTTATGCATGACCTAGACATAGGCTTACATAGATTGCAGACTCATAATTAATTGGCTTAATGCTTGATTCAAGAGGAATTACTAAAACATTAGGATTTTAATTGGGTTAAAGGGTTGAAATCACTAAGACATTAGGGTTCAACTATTTTATAGAGAAATAATGAATTGTCTGAGCAAACCAATTAATTAATTATAAAATACAATATAGGAATATAAGGGAGGATCGGAGGTGAAGTGCATCCTGGCTACATCCTTTTTACAAATTTCTATCAATATTTTCTTACGTTCTTGATCTTTTCTTGCATGCGTTGGAAATTAATTGATTTTAATTTTCTATTTTGAAATATTATTTTTTTAAATTCTGTTTTTAAATTATAAACACTCAATTACTTTCACAAATCAAACCAATTTTATTTTCCAACTTAAGGAGAATAGTTAAATTAGTACTTGGTGCATTAATCTTCGTGGGAACGATACTTTACTTATCACTTTATTACTTGAACGGTATACTTGTCGATTTCGCAACAGAAGCCCGAATGGGGATTAATTTTTATGCAAATTCACAAGAAGATCAAGTAATTGTTTGGGGTAAAAAAAACAAATACAAGTGTATCAAAAAAAATAAAAATACAAGGAAACTTGAGTAACAAGTATGACAGACAAATGAGAGAGACGCAAATTTTTTATTTTTATTTTTTTAATATCAGATAACTGAAGTCAAAGTAAACCAACCACCAATGAACCTTTTTTTTTATTTAGCAATATTCTTTTCTTTTCTTTCTGCCAGTGAGCTTAAAGCTTAACGATCTCAGGAATATGAACAGGGTAGCGATTAATGCAATCTTCCCAAGGCCCATCAAGAGGGGTCATAATGGTTCTGTTGCACTTCCAAACGGCACTGTTGCATTTAAAACCGCTACCAAAAGCTATCTGCCATATTCTGTCACCTCTCTTCATTCTTCCCTTTGATTCAATGTAGTTCAATTCATACCAAAGCGAAGAAGAAGAGGTGTTCCCGAACCTGTGCAGGGTCATCCTTGAAGCTTCAACGTGTTCAGCGGAGAGCTGAAGATTCTTCTGCAACTCATCAATCACAGCACGCCCACCAGCATGGATGCAGAAGTGCTCGAAGGCTTGTTTGAAGTCAGGGATGTATGGCTTCCATTTGGGGTTGAAGATTTTCCTTCCAATGAGGGTTAGAAGGAAGAGTAGCTGCTCCGAAGCTGGAAGAACAAGAGGACCAATGGTTGTTATATTCGATTTCAATGCTTCTCCTGCTATGGCCATGAGGTCCTTCGACAGTGAAATCCCCACCTTCCCTTCTTTGTCTTCCTCTTCGTACACACAATGGTACGCTTTGTCATTACCACCTATTACATATAATTAAAATATATTAGATATATAATAAAAATTATTTACGTATCTTCACTTAAAATTAAGTTTTTTAAATTTTTAAAAGAATTAATTATTGACATAACATTAGAGCCTCTATGTTATGATAATAAACCAAGTGATTAAAATTCAATTCTTATTACCTCATTCTAACAATAAAAAAGAGAGTTGAATTTCGACACAAAATAATATGTGACTAGAGGCGAAAGCAAATAACTCGTCAACATATTAAAAATGTACTTTTTTTTTAATTATATTCCCTATAGATATAAAAGGTTTCAAATAAAGAATAAAGAGAGCTAAAAAAATGTTCAATTAATATTTAAAAATATAAAATAAAAACATAAAAACCAACCCAACGAATCAATTCTGTTTTGACCCTTACTTATATAGGATGAGTTTTAATGGATTCACGGGTCATGAATCTCAACCGAACCCATGGTGTTTTAGACAAGTCAACCCGAATGATTGGATCTATATTGCCAAGTTGGCATTTTAGCGCAATAAAGAGCTTTTGTATTAAAGAATAATGAATTAGATATAGTATTTGAAAAATATTACTATCATTTTACATGATATAGTTATCTCATTTCAAAAATAGCACTCTTTATTATTTCTTTTTCTTTTTTGCTTTTTAATGATGGACTCTCTATAGTATGAGAGAACTATTCTCATGTAACATAAGACTAATATTCTCCCGTATTAACATGTTAGAGATGTAATTAAATGATTTATGTGTTGATTAACCAAAAAAAAAAAAGATTTATGTGTTTTCATCAAATAATTAAATTTTGGGAGAATTGCATTGGTGACGGCACCTTTATGGGTTCGAACCACGTGGACCAATCTGTACTTAGCTCGGCAACGTTCCGATTTTCTGTTTGATAAGAGAATAGCAGCACCACCCATTCTGAATAAACAGTTTGGAACAAGCATGGCTCTCTCTTTGCCTTGGTAATAGTTAGGGGTGATGATCTCTGTGCTCACAACCACAGCATTTGAGTTTGGGTGAACTTGAAGAAGATCTCGAGCTAAGTCAATGGAGATGAGACCTGCACTGCAACCCATCCCTGAGAGGTTAAAGCTCATGATGTTGCTTCTGAGCTTGTACTTGTTTATCACCATAGCAGACAAAGAAGGTGTTGGTGAGAAGAGGCTACAATTCACTATAAGAATGTCTATGTCCTTAGGCTTAAGCCCTGTTTTCTCGAACAAGGAATCCATGGCTGAGGATATAACAAGCTCAGCTTCACCTCTTGCAGCTTCCATGGTTGGTTTAGGTGGTATGTAATGGATTGCAGGAGGCAAGCTTGTTTCTTCTCCAAGACCAGACCTTTCAAGAATCCTCATTTGAAACTCCACACTCTTTGGGTTGTTCTTGAGTATGAGCCTTGAATGTTCCATGAAAGTAGCAAAAGGGACACGGCAAGCCACGGGTGGCTTGAAGCATGCATAATCAACAAGGTAGATTGTGCGTGGCTTTGACATGAAGTAGAAAGTGGCTATGAAAATGATGAGGAAAGAAGAGCAAAGGATTTGGACAATATCAAAGTGAAGAGACCTCCTCCAAAGGTTGAGAATTTCATCAGGCCCTAAACGTATTAACTCTATGAAGATGGAAGCCATGATGGGTATGAGTGTGAGGGTGATAATGTTGTTAACAAAGTATTGGTACCCAAGTTTCACATACTTGAGCTTCACGGAGTTTGAGAAATCGGGCATGATTTGAGGCATCTTAGCACTTTTGAGGAATCAAGATAGGTACAAGGTGAGGTTTTAAAGACTAGAGGGGACCTATGCAATGAAGGGGGCAGATGAGGGGATTAAATGAAAGACATTAAATCACTCAACGCTCATTTAACTTGGTATTAATTTTCATAACTTCCCCTTCCTCTTCTAACTAAACCTTGACACCCTTTTTCACCGGTAAAATCCTTGTTTACTATTTATGGTACTCATGTTCCTTAGCATAATTAAAATGTACCTTGAAAGGCAAATAAGAGATAGCCATGTTTGCAACTGAGTGACACTAAAAACATACACCAAATTGTGAACCATATCTCATGGATCCAACCCAGTAAATATGAATAGGATATGAATTCCATTTTTTTTTTGGAAAACAGGATATGAATTCATTGACGTATAAATGGCATCCATGGAATTATGCTGCCCTTGATATGTTGGCAAATGGGGCCTCATACTTTGGATTAGCACATTGTCAAAGCCCATGTCTCCAATCATTAGATAGCATTAACTTAAAATTTGTCATTTCTTGCAAAACATGAATGATTACCCTGCATCGCTTTCTCTCGCCCAAAGAAAGAAGCAGTATGTCAAAAGAAATTGCACGTTTCCAATGTATGTGAAGCTTTTGAGACCTTCATGACATCCGCTAAATTTCGTCTTTGTGATTGTATTGAGATTTTCATTAAGGGCTGAATGCTTCAATTTGTAAATAATAAACTATTTGAACTCAAAAACAATTTACTCTCTTGAAAGTATATATTATATGGGGCAGGTTATATTTACAAACTTTTTTGCTTACAAACTCTTACAAACTACTATATTCTCCCGGGAGAATACAAACTTTTACAAACTACACTATGTTCTCCGGGGAGAAGATAGTGTAATTTGTCAAAAAATTCAAAAAAAATTGTAAACGAATCTTGTCCCATATTATATAGAGACTCGAAACATTTAATTTTATTTTATCCATATATATATGTAAAATCATTTCTGCAGCCGCTTTACGTACAGTAACTTATGATTCCCCACATTTAATACTTTCTGGTGGGCAAGTGGCTTCTTACACAGGACGCTTACGGAACACCTAGAGGGGGGGTGAATAGGTATTCTAAATTTTTACAAATTTTTTTTGAATTCAGTAAACAATTACACAATTTTTCTTCAGTCCCTATATGCCCAAAATAATTTTTCACGATGCTAAGAACAATGTAGTAACAGAAAACGTACATTAGCAATTTATAGAGTATAAATGTAGCAATATAATTTTCTTAAACAAAAAAAAAATATTAATTCTGCCACAGAACTTTTAAGCAGAAATCATTGTTACTTTAAGTCTCTAAACAGAATACTCAGAAATTAAATCAGAGAGACAAGAAACACACGATATATCCTGGTTCACACCCACTAAGCCTAAGTAGGGTGCTACGTCCAAACTGAAGTAGCTGCAGATATTTTATTTATCACAAGTGAACCTGTTTTACAAACACGCGTCACACAAGCAATCAAAAAAAAATATCAAAAACCTTCCTAGTGCCTACATTGCTCCAAGCTCTGAGAATACTCTCAAGCCGTTCAAACTCTATCTTCAATTTGAGATTTCTTGTAAATTTTTTGTCATCATCAAAATATGTAGTCCATTATGCTTAGTAAGTCTTCACTTTCATCCTTTGTATGATTATGATTCTCCGCATTTAATGCTTTCAAGTGTATATATGGCAAGTATTTGATTGCTGCACGTACAGCAGCTGTAGAAATGTAAATCTTATATATATATATATATATATATATATATATATATGTTTGTGTGTGTGTCAGTGTGTGTATATTTTTTTTTGAGATTTTTATTTTGTTTCGATAGGGGTGCTTGCTGCACATGAAATTTAGCAAGCGTAAAGTGCACGCATGCATATTAAGCTTGTTTTTCATGGAAACATAATGTATATTAAACCAAAGATAGGGTGGGATTAATCTCATACTGAGAATTGGAGCATAAAAGTTTCGCCACTAATTGTAAAGAGTCTTTTCAAGGATCTAAATCAAAATCCAATCGATAATAACATGTATATCTGAACAACATATCAAAACCATACTTAGTAATTAATTAAGTCCATAACAATATTTCTAGATTATTTAACAAAAGTAAAGACAGTTGAATAAATTTTATTTTTTTAAACTCCATACAGTCTTATATATATAGTACATTAATTTTACTGTAAAAGCTTTTGAATTGTTAAACTTGTAATTTATTAAGAATCTCTTTGCTATATAAAAATGTATTATTATTTGTGATAAACACCACTTGAATCCAAAACCTTAAGGCATTAAGTGAGGCTAAATTAATTATTTTATATCTCTCTAACACACACCCTTAGGCAAGAATCCTTTAGACTTGAAGCGTGAATATGACACAAGTTTATTATTGGTCTGCCTTGTGCTATATAAGCTCATTTTTTTTTATCTGCCTTGTGCTTTTCTTAACTTCACCTGAAAGTGGGGAAGATGATGATCGAACTCGCAACCTTATGGCCATTAAAGCTTTGATACCATGATAAATGTCACTTCAACTCATAATCTTAAGGTATTGAGTGAGGCTAAATTAATTATTTTATATTTTTCTAACAAATTGTATAAATTTATTTTCAGATACTCTTTATAACTTTTTATGTAGGTCGCAGTGGCAGACACAGTAATTTTAATGAGGGGGACGAAAATAAAAAATATATTATTATAAATAAAAATATTTGAAATATAATACAGACCTAATATAAAAAAATTAAAAAAAATCTATCATAAAGATTAAGATCACTTCATTTGACTCTTATTTTACGTATTTTCTTATTGTTAAACTCATATATAATTGAATCCGTGTTAAAACTCAAAATAATTTCTTTTTTAATGTATGTAATCAAAGAATCATCAAGAAATTGGTCTTTTCTTTTATTTCGAAGCTTGTTCGTGATTTTATTTTACGCATGCGGATCCTAACTTTTTTCTTTCTTTTTAAATGTCAGTATCTGCATGTGTAAATATGTTTGCTACAGAAAAATTCATATGCTATTGTTGCAGAAGAGACGAACCCATAAATAAATCATGTTATCCATTATCAATAAATTAGATACCCACAAAGTTATATGTGTCCTTTCATTCTTTTTATAGCTAGAATTGTTGGAAATTTAAAGAGATTAAGAATAATTTAGAAGAACACACTACAATTTTTTAATCTAATCACGTGTTTGGTAGGAGGTGAAAAAATAATTTCCTAAGAAAATGGGGTTCGGAAATTATTTGCCTATGTTTCAAAGGAGATGAAGAAAAAATATGGCTAGAATTTTTTTTCCATCATTTGCTTTTCTATGTAAAATAGTTGGAGAAGATTACTGTTGAAGAGTGAACATGTACTTGAAGAGTGTTTCAAGATTGAATCCCACGCTCCTCTTCAATGAAAATGCTTGTGCTTCCACTTCAGTTGTCTTCTCTTGCAATTACAAGCTGAACAATTTCCAGAAGTTTGATTTGAGCCGTTGAGATCTTGTGCTTTCTCTTCCCATTCACTCATGTTAGTAATTTACCCACTCACACACATTTTGTAATATTATTAAAATACCTATATATATATATATATATATATATATATATATATATATATATAATTTTTTCTATCAAATTTTAGAGAGGCGGGGGCCCACCCTAGCCCCCCTCTAGGTCCGCCCCTGGTAGGTCGTCAAGTAATACTTGAATTGTTCCCATGAGTTCACCTCGTAGGGCCTAAAGAATTTGCAAAGTTATATAAGGATTGTTTTTCAAATAAAAACAAAAGGCGTGTTGTGGGAGAGGAGTGGATCATCTCATGTGAAAAAGTGATCATGTGCTAATGTTATTTGATCACAACACTTATTGATGATAAAATAATAGAAAAAAATATATATAATTTTTAAATGAGTGATTATGATCAAATAATATGAATATATGATATTTTTTTACATGAAAGAATCCACTCTAAGAGAGATACAAGCGATGTACATACATTACTACATTAGTACTCAAAATGGAAAAATTTTAGGACATTCATAGAAATACAAAAAAAGACAAGGATAGAAATGATATAGGATTTTTTAATTAAGAAAAATAGGATTACTGAATTCAGCATTTAAAAAAAATCCGCGTTACGCATATTGGGCCATTCCCCAAGGCAAGGCTAGTTAATAATTGATTTTACAGTAATCAATTCTTAGAAGTAATCAACAAGTTGACTTTTCTACAGGAAAAAAAAAAAAGACTTTTCGGTAAGATATGTCTTTCGTAAATAAATATTTGGTACTAGTGTCATATTTAGATTCAGTATATTTTATTAATGGAAGTATTATATATTAAAAGAGAGAAATTTTTTTTGATAGAAATTAAATTTTTTTGAATGATATATAATACTCTCATTAATGAAATACATTGAATTTAAATATATACAGTAACACTAAAAATTTACTCGTATTTGAGAATATAACTCTAATTCTTCCTTAACAATACTGTTTTCTTGTTACGAAAAAAAAAAAAATACTGTTTTCTCCCTAAAAATAATAATAAAAAATCTGTGAAATGACTTTTATTCTCCTCGCGCGTGTCCCGTCCCTATATTCCAGTGTTATCTTACATGGCACGTTGGAAAGAAAAAAATAATAATAAAGCCTCTTGTTCCCGAACAAATATTACTATATTTGCTTTCGTCTTTTATAGAAAAAAGAATTTATTATTTTTTTAGAAACTAAATTAAGTTTTTATTAAATTTTTGAAAGATCATATTTTTAAAAAATTAAAATTATAAATGGACTAAAAATTAATTTTTTTTTTATAAGAAATGAAAATGAAAACCATATTTTTATTAGGATTTTATTAAAAAAAAATATATAAAAGCTCTACGAAATGAATCGAGTGAATCATCTGTCTTCCACCCAACATATTATATTCATCGAGTATTGTAGTCAAACGCATTTCACGTTCCTCTCCTACTTTTACTAGTCTTGTCTTCATCTTTTCCCTCTAGAAACTACATAAGACCAATTACTGTACACGGTGGGAGCTAGAAATTTTAGACTCAACTACACATAACTGAGGAACTCAGAAAAAAGATAGAGATGCCTGAATTCTGCGTGACTGGGGGTACTGGGTTCATAGCAGCTTACCTTATAAAGGCCTTACTTGAAAAGGGTCACACTGTGAGGACCACTGTGAGAAACCCAGGTTTGCTATATTTGAGTGGTAGAATATTCATATAGTGAAGAGAATTTTAATTCTTACTAGATTTGATACTTCTGCTGCTGTAGTTTGATTATTCCGTTAATTATTCTAATTTCATTGTTCCCCCCCTCCCTCCCATTGTTAATATTGCAATTTTTTTTATCAGGGGATGTGGAGAAGGTTGGTTTTCTGAGGGAACTGAGTGGAGCCAAAGACAGACTGAAGATTTTGAAAGCTGATCTATTGCTGGAAGGGAGCTTTGATGAGGCAGTGAGAGGGGTTGATGGTGTCTTTCATACAGCGTCCCCTGTGCTTGTTCCTTATGATGACGACGTTCAGGTTTGCTTCCCCTTTATACCCAGTATTTGTTATTTTTGCCTTTATTTTGAGGGGCTTCCTCTCTTTAAGCATAAAGCTTCATTGCATTGCATGATAAATAAATTGTGTTACTCATAAGTAGTAGGTTTGTTTGTCCTCCTCTAAATTTGTCACACTAGCCCAATCTAATGGTCTAAGGTCGGATCAATCCCATTTATAAGTGAGGCTTTTAATCTTCATTATAAAAGATTTTACTTGTTGGAAATAATCAAGCCTGGCTGAGTAGTGGTGAAGTAAGTCCCATATAGGCTAGACTTAGATCAAGTGAGGATCATATAATTGCGAAAGATCTATAGACTTACAATCTTAAGGTTTTCGATTGAGATGTGGTGTCGGAGAAACAACTTTTACACAATATCAACAAAGTTATTACTCTATAGAAATCATGTTGTGAGCCTGTGGTGGGGGACCACCACCAACGAACTAAGCTAGACCAACCACATTAAGTGGGTTTGACACCATGTCATAGCCCAAAACCTTAAGGCATTTTGTTCATTTGTTCTTCCACTTATACAATCTCCCAGTCAAGTGTGAAACTCGACATTGCTATGCTCTTCCTCTCTCAGAGTACACTCTAGGTCTAAGTACTCAACCCGCCTCTAGCCAAACACCAAGCTAGTTCAAGCTCAACTTGACTCTGATACGACTATTAGGTGGGTCTAGAGTGAGCCCTTCACACATTCATAGCAAAATCCAAGGTCAGATGTACCATGAAAATAACGGAACACACGTTGTACTGTCCTCCAATGTTTCATCCCTAACTTGGACATATACCTACTCAGTGCTCTCATTGCTTGAGCAATATCAAGACGAGTATAAATCATGGCATACATCAAACTCCCAACTGCACTAGCATAAGGAAATAATGTCATCTCCTCTTTTTCTTCTTTAGTCCTGGGACATTGGTCAACTGATAACTTTGAACCTGTAGACATGGGAGTTAACACTGGTTTGCAGTTAGTCATATTAAATTTCTTCAGAATATCCTTGATGTACTTTTGTTGACCAAACCGTAACTTTCCTTTATCGCCCTCTCTTAATCTGTATGACCAAGATCAAACTTGCAGAGCCTAAATCTTTCATTTCAAACCGTCTTATCAGCAATCCTTTGACAGTGCTGATCATCTTCAAATTGTTTCCAACAAGTAACATGTCGTCAACATACAAGGTTAGAATAATGAAGTCACCTTCTAGCATTTTCACATAAACACAATGATCAACATCACAACGATTAAAGTTAAGTGTCAACACATAAATGTCAAACTTCAAGTACCATATATTGGGTGATTGCTTCAGACCATATAGAGATTTTTTTAGCTTGCGGACTAAGTCCTCTTTACCTCTTTCTACAAACCCCTCCGGCTGCTTCATGTAAATAACTTCCTCCAAGTCACCATAAAGGAATGCGGTCTTCCAACTGCTCCACCTCAAGATCATATGCAGCTGCCACATATAAAACAAGTCTTATGGAATTTAACTTTGCAATAAGTGAAACCACCTCACCATAATCAACTCCTTCTGTTTGTGAATATCCCTTTGCAACCAAACGAGCCTTGTAATGCTCAATCTCCCCATTAGTAGCAACCTTTACCATTTTCCTTTTGGTCTGCAGGTAGTTTTACCAAACTCCTAGTTTAGTTTTTGATTAGAGAGTTCATCTCATCTTTCATGGCTTCCTCCCACTGTTTGGCATCCTCTGAGCTCCTAGCTTGCTTTACAGTGCTCGGATCATCACTTGTAATACTCAGGGCATAACTTTCATTACTAGTGCAAATGATATAATTATCAGGTGTATACCTCTCAGATGATTTTCTTTCCCTTGTGGAACTCCTCAACTCTGGTTCTTCAACTTCAACCTCGGTTTCAAAATCTGCATCTTTTGCCTCGTTATATTCAATAGCTTCAGAATTTGAATTTTCCACTCCAACTTGTGTGTTTACAACATCCTCTTTCAAACCCATATCTAACTCTACTGTCTGTGACTTTTTAGGAGCTTCCGGAAAAATCCAATTTGGCTTAGATTCCCCGAATACAACATCCTTGCTGTAAGTTACACTTTTAGTATCTAGATTCCACAACTTTATCCTTTGATGCTATCCTTGTACCCAATAAAGATACACTTATCTGATTTACTGTCAAGCTTGCTTCTTTTCTCCTTGGGTACATGCATATATGCCTCATTAGTGATACCTTCATAACCTACCTTTCTCATCTCCTCATACAATAAGGCAGCAACAATAGTCTCAAATGAGAATTTATTAACACCAGTACCAATCGAAATAGTGATATGCTCCCAAGGGTTTGGCAGTGAACAAAGTAAACTGCAAGCTTTGTCTTCCTCATCCAGGTTGACATCTACAGATGTAAGTTGTGCACAAAGAGTATTAAATTCATTTAAGTGTGCAAAGAAAGAATCCCCTTCACTCATCCATAGATTATACAGTCGCCTTAACAACTTATTCTTAAGTGATTTGCTTTGATAGTGATTTCCCAGCATAGTCCATAGATCTTTTGTTGTCTTCTCAGTGGTCACGTTCACCATAATGTTATCTGCAAGGCATAACCAAATTAGACTTCGAACCTTTCGATCATCTTTGGTCCCCTCTTTCAACTCCTTTGACCCACTCGCCTCTAATGTTCCAACATGGCAGTTTTTGTTGGTACAATTGGCTTTTCATCTTCAATCACGTACCATACATCTTTGTCAACGAGCAAAGCTTTCATCTTTGGTTTCCATAAATCAAAACCCTTTCCTCCAACTTTTCAACCTTGATCCATGATTGGCCGGTCGACATCCCTAATAGATTAATTTCGCAAGTTTCTTTAAGCCAAAAAGATCCTAAATCAGCGAAACTCCAATCCGCGACAGGAATCCTAATCGCAGAACCAAAGCTCTTGATATCAAATGTTGGCACCGAACAATCACACAAGATTGCAAAATAGAAACTAGTGTAGGAGACACAAAGTGTAGACACAGGTTTACCCTGGTTCATCCAATGTGGGCTATGCCCAACAATATTCACTATATTCTCCTTACTGCACTCGTTATAAAGCACTATATTTACAAGGGAAATATAAATAGGTTTAGAAACCCTTAAAACAATAGTTATTCATAAGCTCAAGCCCAAACTACTAAAAAGGAAATAAAATAAAATAATATACAATAACCCCAAGACCCATAACAATATCAGGCTTCCGTAGGTGAATGCGAAGTATGAGCCATACCAAACATTCTCCCACTTGGTGAATGCTTAACATGCTTTTTCAGTCCCGATGCAATTGTACACCATTCAAACTTCTTTGAACTCACTACCTTGGTTAGAAAGTCAATCTATCCTTTCTCTGATAAAGTGGTATTGTATGCCTATGTGTTTGGCCCTTGCATGGAAGCCTAGGTTCTTAGCCAAGAAAATGACACTCTGACTATCACACCCAACCGTCACCCCTCATTGTGTAAAACCAAGCTCTTTACACAATATGTCTGCGCAACCAAATAACCTCCTTGATAACATGTGTCAAGTCCATGTACTCTGCCTCTATAGTAGATAAAGCAATTGTGCTCTGCCTCTTACTCATCCAGCTGACAGCTCTGCCGAATAAGGAAACAACATATCCACTTGTAGACCATCTACTATCAATACCACCACCCTAATTAGCATCCACAAAGCACTTTAGTTCTAATAGTGATTGTCCCCTCCATTGTCAGTTCTCAGCACCTTGATATTTCTATCAAACTGATTTTCTTCCAATGCCTTGAACTCGCGGAATCAAACACCTCATCCTTGCTGCGCAAGAAATATATCCACATATACCTTGAAAAATCATCAGTAAAAAAACATAATACCTTGATTTTTCGTGTGACGCTACAGGTGTAGGTCCAAACACATCGCTGTATATCAAGTCTAGGATCCCTTTAGCTTTTCCTCCTATGGATTCAAAACACACCCTGTTTTGCTTCCCGTGTAGGCAATGCTCACAAAATCTGAAACCCATAGAATAGCTTGGAATTCCGTCTACCAACTTCTTTGATATCAAAGTCTTTGATACCACTGTTGTGGGCCATGTTAGGAGGAGCCCGTGGTGGGGGACCACCACCAATGGGCTAAGATACACCAACCACATCTAGTGGGTCCGATACCATATCACAACCCAAAACCTTAAGGCATTGAGTTTATGGATTCTATTACCAAACAACATAGGACTCATCACATTCGAATATCCCAACAAATCACACCAAAGTTATCGTGCTCTTACACATCATTCCCTTTCTCTCAGCCTTTGCCTAAGACCACTTAGAAAAAGTTTTCTTCTATGTCACTACCTCTTTTAGCATTATTATATTGAGATACTTTATCTCTTCAAGAAAAAAGACTTGATCTCACCACACAAATAGTTAAAATCCCATCATATATGTTGTTTTCACAGGTCCTAATATTGTTTCTCTCACACACCAAATACACAAGGAGTTCTCTGAATATACTTCTCTATTCTTACTGATTCTGCCAAGCCCCTTATATTACAAGAGTTACAATGTGCTTTTTATAAGCAACAACAAATGATTAAGAATAATAATGACTAACATAGAAAATCTAAACATATTAAATATCCACCAACATATGCCTAGAGCCACACCATAAACCAAAACAAAATCCTTCATATTTCTATTTTCTTTTATTTAAATTAAAGATTAACCTAACAAAACTCCCCCTTAATCTTTAATATCTCTACCGTCCTTCATGCCTAACTTCTTCTTACAATTTTCTAACAGCAACGTCGGCAGTGGCTTTGTAAAAATGTCACCAACTTGATCTTGGCTTGCAACATGATTTAGCTCCACTTTTCCTTCTTTAACTTGATCCCGGATGAAATGGAATCTGACATCAATATGCTTACTTCTTTCATGGTTGACCGGGTTCTTTGCTAACTCGATCGCGGACTTGTTGTCAACTCGAATATCGGTTGGGCCGTCTTGCACTTGCTCCAGCTTGCTTAGCAAATTCCTCAGCCATATTGCATGGCAAACACACCAAGATGCCACAATATACTCAGCTTCACATGTAGACAGGGTCACAATGGTTCCTTCTTCGACACCCAAGTAAACGCCGTGTTTCCCATGAAGAACACATAGCCAGCTGTGCTCTTCCTATCATCAACATCTCCGCACCAATCACTATCTGAATAACCCGTTAGTTTGTATTTGTCCGACTTCGAGTAATGAAGTCCTTGTGAGATTTTTCCCTTCACATATCTCAGAATTCTCTTAGCCGCCTTCCAGTGAGTGTACCCCGGGTCTTCCATAAACCGACTTATGATCCCAACACTCAGACATAGATCCGGCCTTGTACATGTCAAATATATCAGACTTCCAACTAGACTCTGGTAGTAACTCGGATCAACTCTCTCTCCTCCATCATACTTCGAGAGTTTCAAACCGGGTTCCATTGGCGTTGAAACCGGGTTGCAATTACTCATTTTAAACTTCTCTAAAATTCCTTTTGCATAAGATTCCTGAGAGACGAAGATCCCGGATTCATCTTGTCTAACCTCTAAACCAAGAAAGTATCTCATCAGACCGAGATCCGTCATCTCGAACTCCTTCGTCATTTTCTTCTTAAAATCTTGAATCATTCCTTCATCATTACCCAAGAAAATCAGATCATCAATATATAGAGCAACAAGTAGAATTTTACCTTCTTTCTTCTTCACGTAGAGTGCATGTTCATATGGACATTGCTCAAATCCATCATTCTTAAAGTAATTATCAATCCTCGTGTTCCAGGCTCTTGGGGCCTGCTTCAAACCATATAATGCTTTCTTTAATCTCAACACTTTTCTTTCTTGTCCGGCTTTCATAAACCCCGGAGGTTGTTCGAGATACACTTCTTCCTCGAGTACTCCATTCAAAAATGTCGACTTTACATACATTTGATAGATCGGCCATCCAAATTGGGCTGCTTGAGAAATCAACAGCCGTATTGTTTCCAGTCTCGCTACGGGTGCAAACACCTCGTCAAAGTCTACTCCAGCTTTCTGTTTATACCCTTTCGCCACTAGCCGGGCTTTGAATCTCTCTATCTCCCCTTTAGCATTCATTTTCTTCTTGTAGACCCATTTTACACCAATTGGCCGACTTCCCTTAGGTAGCTCGGCTAACTCCCACGTCTTGTTCTTTTCTATCGCCTTCATTTCCTCCTCCATGGCAGATTGCCATTTCTCATCTCGGACAGCTTCCTCGAAGTTCAACTCCTCAGAATATGCTAACAAACATACCAGGTGTGCTTCGGTTGAGTCATATAAATCTTGTAGGGTCCTCAATCTCGATTGTCTTTTCTCTTCATCACTATCAGAGTCATTCGGATTCTCTGGAATCCGAGTCGAATGTTGTCCGACCTCAATTGATATGTGTCCGGGTTCCATATTGACCCCGGATGGACTACTCCAGTTCCATCCATCTTCCTCATTTACTTTCACATCTCGGCTCACCAACACCTTTTTACTGACGGGGTCCAGCAACTTGTACCCCTTCGTCTTCTCATCATAACCAATGAACACGAACTTCTTACTTTTGTCTTCAAGCTTCGTCCTCAACTGATCTGGTATGTGTGCATACGCAACACTCCCAAAATTTTTAAAATGACCCACTGAGGGCTTCAAACCACTCCACGCTTCCTGCGGGGTTTTATCATTCAGACTCGAATGAGCACATCGATTCTGCACGTACACTGCACACTGTACGGCTTCTCCCCAGAACTCCTTTGGCATGTTCTTTGTCTTCAACATAGATCGGACCATATCCAGGATAGTTCGGTTCTTCCTCTCAGCTACTCCATTTTGCTGGGGTGAGTATGGTGCGGTCAGGAACCACCTTATTCCGTGTTCTTCACAATATCTTTTAAACGCTATTGATACATATTCCCCACCTCGGTCTGAACGGACTGACTTGATGTATCTTCCAGTTGTATTTTCAATCATCACTTTAAACCTTTTAAAGGTATTCAGTACTTCGGATTTTTCTTTCAGAAAATAAACCCAAGTCTTTCGACTAAAGTCATCAATAAATGAGACAAAATATCTTTTTCCACTGAAGGACCCCGGAGTTATGGGTCCACACAGGTCAGTATGAATGAGTTCCAGAGGCTGCTTAGCCCGGTATCTCGCCGTCCTTTGGAATGGTCTCCTTGCATGTTTTCCCAATACGAAGTCCTCACAAAACTTTCCCTCAGAGTTTATCTTCGGCAGTCCCACCACCATGTTCTTCTTCATCATCTCGGTCATACCACCATAATGAAGGTGTCCAAACCGTTTATGCCAAAAATCCATCTTATCTTCTACCCCGGCTTGCAGACAGCCAACCTCCAAGCTCCTCACTTTCAATTTGTACATCCCATTCTTCTCCATCTGAACTCGGGCTATCAACCGCCCTTGCTTATCTTTCAACAGTAAAACTCAGTCTGTCATTAGAACCGAGTAACCTTTCTCCATCAGTTGTCCAATGCTCAATATGTTACTCTTGAGCTCGGGCACATAATACACATCCTGAATCGTTCCAACCCGTCTGTCCTTTTGTAGAAAACAGACCGTACCACGACCTTTTACATCAATTTTGGACGCGTCTCCGAAAGAGACATGTCCGGCTTCCACCGTCCTCAATTCTTTGAACAAATGTTTGTAACCACACATGTGATTACTGGCTCCGGTATCCAAATACCACTCCGTCTCATTCTTCGAACTCGTATCACCTTGTGCCAACATCAGAACTCCTTCATCTCTTATCTCTCCTTCTGCAGAAAAGTTTGACGTTCCGTCAACCCTCCTTTCATCTCGGTAATCCTTCGCGAAATGCCCAACTCGGCCACAATTGTAGCATCTGTCTGAGTTGCAGTCCTTTGAATAATGGCCATACTTGCCACACTTATAACACTCTACACTACTTTGATTTGACCACCGGCCTCTTCCACCTCGGCCACGTCCTCTACCTCTCCAGTTTTGCTGACTCGTCTCAGCTCTTTCTTCATGTTTCACCTCCTGCCCTTGGCCTCGACCACCTCGGCCATTTCCACGTCCAGCTCGTCCACGACCTCTACCTCGGACGTTCTGAGAATAGAGCGCCTTCTCATCCTTAATGGTTGCTTTTGACTGGAGTGCTTACTCCAGCGACTCCTCCTTTTTGCTTCTTCTTGCACTGCTTATGCGCCTCAAGGGAACCTGCTAGCTCGTCAACAGAGAGCGTAGACAAGTCCTTGGACTCCTCGATTGCACACACCACGTTCTCGAAGTCGTCTGTCAATGACCTCAGAATCGTTTCTACTACTATGGAGTCGGCCAACGTCTCTCCATTCCTCTTCAACTGGTTCACAACGGTCTGAACACAGGTGATGAAATCTGACACTCCTTCGGTCTCCTTCATTTTCATCCCCTCCAACTCTCCTCGAAGAGTTTGAAGCCTGACCTGCTTCACATGGTCAGCACCTCGGTAGACCGTCTCCAATATGTCCCAGGCCTCCTTAGCCGTTGTTGCGCCTCCAATCTTCTCAATACCACCGCACTCTTCAACAGCTTGAAGTATCATAAACAGTGCCGTTGCATCCTTCGATTTTGACAAACTCAATTGCTTGAGTTGGTTTGCTGAGTATCCTTCTGTTGTTTCAGGTTCTACGAACCCATTTTGCACCAAATTCCAACTATCACACGCTCTTAGGAGAGCCTTCATTTGGATGCTCCAATTCTCATAGTTGCCCTTTTTCAGGCGGGGCACTGGCAGACCATTACTTACACCTTCCATTGATATCAAGCTCTGATACCAATTTGTTGTTTTCACAGGTCCTAATACTGTTTCTCTCACACACCAAATACACAAGGAATTCTCTGAATATACTTCTCTATTCTTACTGATTCTGCCAAGCCCCTTATATTACAAGAGTTACAATGTGCTTTTTATAAGCAACAGCAAGTGATTAAGAATAATAATGACTAACATAGTAAATCTAAACATATTAAATATCCACCAACATATGCCTAGAGCCTTACCATAAACCAAAACAAAACCCTTCATATTTCTATTTTCTTTTATTTAAATTAAAGATTAACCTAACAATATATCAGAGTCAGAACACCTGCTAGAAGAGAACAATGTGAACTGTATATGCGATCAATTTTACATGTAATTTTGAATTGATTATTATTATTTTTTTATCTCAATACAAGTCGTGCACGAATAATCCCAGTTAAATCCAAATTCAGCCACATAAGTAGCTGAGACGGTTAAGCTGACAAAAATTGTAAGTATCGTTTTCCTTTTCACATGGTATGAATTTTGTGTTTATCCTTATACTTAAGGATCCCGGGAGTTATTATTATTATGTTAAGACACACATCTTTCTTGTTTTCTAATAGCTCCGTCATATGGTCATTTCTTATGATTTGAAATATTTTGCAGGCAAATTTGATTGATCCCTGTATAAAAGGAACCCTCAATGTGCTTAACTCCTGCATAAAAGCAAATGTGAAACGTGTGGTGCTCACCTCTTCTTGCTCTTCCATAAGATACCGTGATGATGTTCAACAAGTGTCTCCTCTCAATGAATCCCATTGGAGTGATCCAGAGTACTGCAAGCGCTATAACGTAACAACACTTGCTACCCTATATTATGTTACATGAAATAATGTCAAATTAATTGAAGTACATGCAAGATTATATATGTAGTTTACATTGTATCAAACTCTTATGAATATGCAGCTGTGGTATGCATATGCAAAGACGTTAGGAGAGAAAGAGGCTTGGAAGATAGCAAAGGAAAGTGGCATGGATCTAGTGGTGGTTAACCCCTCTTTTGTTGTTGGCCCCCTGCTTGCACCACAGCCAACCAGCACACTGCTCATGATACTAAGCATTGTCAAAGGTTAGATTCCCGTGCACTGGGATGACCCTCATTAAAAAAATTTCAAACTACTAGTTTACCCTATTTTTTTAAAGAAAAATCTTAGTCCGAACAAAAATAGCACGCCTGATTAAATTTTGCAAACTTGATTTTATTAATAAAGTGAGTTTATAATGAAATATTTATGTTTAGAAAAAGTGATTTGGTATGACTAACACTATTTGAATAATAAAAATCATTTTTAGGTGTGCAATAAAGAAAAAAATATATATATGAATTCCCTCTTACAGTCTTACCTTCTTGGTGTTGCCATTTATTTCATCCATTTTCTTTTTTTTTTCTTTTTCTTTTTTGGAGACATTCATCCATTTTCTTTGATTTTGAATTATACTTTAACAAATGGCATGACCGCGGTTTTTAGAAGTTTTTACTTTTTGTGTTGTCATTATATCAAAAATATGAAATATGAGTGGCATTAAACTTTTTTAATTTACTTTGATTTTAAAATGCACATTTTAGAATATTTGTTTTATGGAATGGACAATAAAATACAGAAATTAGCACAATTACTATATAATTAACTCTTAGGCCGGCAACAAATTCTTTTAAAAAGTAAAAATATGAGAAGGTTAGAGTAGAAAATAAGACTGTTGCCGTCATTAATACTTTGTCATTATTGTCCTAACACCATCAAGTTCATAGCTGTTGGGATATTAAGTGTGATAAATTTCATATTGATTGATAATGGACTAAGTCAAGTATATATAAGTAAATGGATCCATAAGTAATACGTTAAGATTTTGAATTGTTGGTGTCAGACTCACTTAATATAGTGGTGTAACCCGTGCCATGGGCTCCTTTGGAACCTGTCTGACAACAGCACTCATATAAACATGCTTATATAAGGTAAAGGTTATTCCAAGATAAGTAAAAGTGTGTTCGAGTTAAGTATCACTCAACCAATACACATTAATTAGTGTTCGGCCTCCTTAGTACAAATCTTCTGGCTCCGCCATGTGTTGAGCCTCTTTGTCCTTTCACTTATCATTTAATTCTCAGTTACCATTTTACTAGATAAAGGCTATGAATGTTTTGATTATATACGTCAAGAAACAATTCTTAGTGGGATATTAGACATATTTGGAGGAAAAACTTGGATTATTATGGACTCGTAGATAGCAGAAATACCATAGAGAAAATTATTGGGCCATATCTGTAAATCTTCCCAAGCATTTTTATTTTAATTATTTTTAAACTTGTGCATGATTTACTTTTCAAATTTAGGGTAACACATGTTTTAACAGGCTTGAAAGGAGAATATCCAAACTTGACAGTGGGCTTTGTACACATAAATGATGTGACAGCTGCTCACTTGTTGGCTATGGAGGAACCCAAGGTATCTGGAAGGCTTATTTGTTCAAGCACAGTAGCTCACTGGTCGCAAATCATTGAAATGCTTCGGGCCAAATATCCTTGCTATCCATATGAAAGCAAGTGAGTTATCTTCGGCTATCATTATACTGCAACCTTATTTTGCTATAAATTAAAAAGGCTTAAAAATTCTGCCAAAGCACCAAGAGTTTTTTCTTTTTCTTTTTTTATGATTTGAAACTTATTTGTGCTTAGTTTGTCTTATGTTTGATCACGGTGTTACAGGTGCAGCAACAAAGAAGGAGATAATAACCCACATAGCATGGACACCACTAAAATTACTGAGTTGGGATTTCCTCCATTCAAAACCCTTGAACAAATGTTTGATGACTGCATCAAAAGCTTTCAAGACAAGGGCTTCCTATGACTTACGTAATGATCTTTGTTGCCTTTCTTGTTCATGTGAGGTGTCTGCGTCATATGATCTAAAACAAAGAGGCCATAAACCAAATAGAAAGATTTGAACTCTTATCCTTTTTTATTTCTTTTTTTGTGGAAACAATTTGAACTCTATATTTTTATCTATATGGGTGCTATTTCCTTTTCTGTTTTTCCCAAGATTTTACTCTATTTGTGTCGTTATTAACTCAGGTTATGTAATGTTTGTTTTTCCGTTCAAACTTCAGATAATAACCGAGCCCGGAAAAAAAATATATGGCTTGAATTTTTTTTGTATTTTACTATAATTGATAAAATGGTATCAATCTATTTTCTAGTCCTGTATACAATGCAAGATTCTCTCTCTCTCTCTCTCTTATCTTATCTATTACTTTCCCTCAAGTTGGAGTCTGCAGTGAACAAATACCCAACTTGCCTAGGATGTGTTTCCCAAGGCCTTGGCAAATATTTCTGCCAACTGAGTTTTTGATCTCACATAGGAGGTAATAATGGTGTGATCCAACAATTGTTCCCAACCAAAATGACAGTATGATTCAATATATTTTGTTTGTTCGTGAAAGATTGGGTTGGCTGCAAAATGTAAAGATGTCTGGTTATCACCGATTAATTGTACTGGTTGTCATGGAGGATGCCAAGTGAGAGAAGAAAAGATTTAAACCAAACCAACTCTGATGTGGTAGTAGCCATAGAACGATATTCTGACTTGGAGGATAAACGTAAAATTATTACTTGTTTCTTTGTTTTTCAGGAAATGAATAAAGTTCCTAACATGATAAAATATCATGTGACTGGTTTACGTTTAATTGGAGAACTCCCCTAGTCTGCATCATAATATGCTTGAATTTGCAAGTTGCAATATGATTTAACCATTATTCCTTGACTTGGATTCATCTTGATATAGCTCAACACTCTAACCACTAAATCATAATATTGTTGCGTCGAGTGTTGCATAAATTGCGATAGTGTGTGAACTGCAAAGCTCAAGTCCGGTTGTGTGATGGCTGTTGGGACGGGTTCCTTCAATTAGTGCTAAAGCAAAATCTCAGGTCGACATGTCGAGCTCGAAGCTTGGCACTTCCAGGTCGGCCAATACACAATGAATAAGAAAAATACAGAAGAGAGACAGAGACAAAGAGAAACACAACATATTTTTAACGTAGAAAACCTTCCCTAAGGCAGATGAGTAAAAACTACGGACACTAGTTCAAAAAATATTTCACTATGTAGAAGAAAGATTACAAGGATTCAAACTTCCCTAGTTACATTTGAGGTGCACTTGTAATCACCAACAATGGTGGTTACATGTTCTTCTCAAAGAGGTCTCACACAAACTTCTCTTTAGAGGATTCACTCACAAAATCTAGCTAAACTATTACAAAGGTCTTCATGTGCTTATGTAAGGTGAGGGGAACCCTCCACTTTTTTCTAGAATCTTCATCAATGATTAAGATGGTAGCATTCATTAAGGTGGTTAGGAAGACCTTAAGCCATGCACCCTTAAAGGATGGAACACATCCCAACAAATCTCCCTGTTTTGACTTTAATACGTCGAGTTACGCAGCCCATCACCTCAGAAGTAGTCTTCGAATCTCTTTGCTGGTACCAGCTTGGTCATCATGTCGGACCAATTCAGGTCAGTATGCACTTTGATGAGTTCGAGCTGTCCATCCTCCACCACATCTCGGATCCAATGGTATCTTACATCAATGTGTTTAGTGCGGGAGTGATATGTCGAGTTCTTCGCTAGATAAATAGCATTTTAATTATCACATTTCGGCTTATATTTGTCTAGTTCATGGCCAATTTTAAGAAGAAACTTCTTCATCTATATCATTTCCTTACAAGCCTCAGTAGCAACTATGTACTCAGCCTCGGTCGTCGAAAGTGCCACATATTTTTATAGCTTTGAATGCCAAGAGACAACTTCTTATGCAAAAATTATCAAATATCTAGTTGTCGACTTTCTCAAGTTGGCATCTACCCCAAAGTTAGCATCCATAGAGCCTTGTAGCTCGGCCTTACCTTCTCCTTCCCTGCATTATCCACTGCCAAGAAAGCACAATATTGTTTGGAAAAGTGAGAAGATGTGACAAAGTTTCAAATAGGATAAGGTGTATCTGTGATAGGACTGCAATGGATGAAAGTTGGTGAGGGCGTGTGTGTGCTGGCCTTAATACATTGGTAGTCCTTTATATAGGCAAGTGCTTTTCTTTCGGGGTGGCTACACTACATCAGATAACTATTGCTTGATGTTGAAGTCAAGTCATGTTATGGGATATCATTTCCCATATCGTCTAGTGTCTTGTTGTTAACAAGTTACTCTCATCATGGTTATTTGTTGCTATGTGTTGGAAAAAGTCATTATTGTTAGGCATTGAAAGAAGTGTTATTAAACTCGAATTAGTCATCGACTCAATTGGGGTACTGAGTTAATAGGTCACCGATTCAATCAGTAGGTCACTAATTCAACCGCATAAATTAAATATATATAATAAAATACAATAAATATAAATTTAGAAACATTAACAAGATCATTTCATAATACCATAATGAGAATTCAAAATTTATCACTTAAACCATGAATATCTTGTTTTTTCTGAAAATTCTTGTTAAGTATGAACTTTCAATGTATACCATGCAAGGGCGTCTCCTTATCTATCTTACTTTAGGAACTCAGTTCCTAGACTTGGCTTATCTCATATATTGAACCATATGTCACCAAGACCAAGAAAGTGAAGTTTTAATGATTACAAAATACAACTAGCTCAACATTCTTGCATAATATAGAAGGCAGTGCAACAAGTTCCAAATAAAGCTAAAAGGCTAAAGTAACATGCAAAAGTGAACGGACAACTTCAAAGTGAAAAGTCTACTCTAAAGTCAAAGTTTTCAAGTGAAGAAAGGAACAAGAAAACTCAAAACGTGAAGACAAAAGTATAAACCTGAAGACTTAAGCTTACATAGTTTGTAATATTTTTTATAGTCTTAGGAATCCAGAAATTTGAGTTTATTGAGCTATAACTCTCAAAGTTGTATATGGAAGCCATAAACTCGTACACTGAGTGTCATACATACATAATCCTCACATACTTGACTAACACATATGTAACATTGTTAAATCAATGCTAGAATCATATATGTGTGAGAAATGAGTAAAAATCAATTAGAAATCAATTGGATTGTAATTGGACAATTCAGGGCTGCTGCACTCAAATATCCGGATATGAATATTTGAATATCCGAATATGATATTCGAATATGGGATATCTGGATATGATATTCGAATATAGGATATCTGGATACGAGCCCAACAAATATCAAGATATGGATCTGGTCACGTGAGTTAATTAAAAATTAGGAGTCTAACGGCTATAAACGGCTATCTAATCATTCATACTCCTATATAAACGTCCAATTAGGGTTCATGAACAAGAATTAACACAGAAACACCTCAGAGCTTAGAATTTGGAAGATTAAACACCAATTTGGCTATATTTTGACATCTTGAGACAAAAGTTCAATATCTCTTTCATCTTTTGATATTTTTCTGATCTTTCTTTTTGCATTAAACAAGGAGAGGTTTCTCCTTTGTTGTTGTTGCTGTAATTGATTCTTGAATGTTGAAAAGACCCTATATGTGATAGGTTGATTGTGATCAGAGATTTGATAATAGAAATTGTAAAAACTCCATTGTAAAATGGTTTTTCGTGCACCGGTTTGAAGCTCTGGACATTGTGGATCGACTACCTCAGTCTGGATGTAGCTCTCAAGTGGTTAAAGAGTGAACCATGATAAATTTTGGTGTGATTCTTCCTTTCCATTCATCTTTTTGATACCGCTCTGTTATCTCTGTTATTGGAAGCTATTTAGTATGTTTTAAATCTATTTTTACATTGGCGATGGTTTGTTTTCTTTTTAATTTAGGACTTGGTTGAATTATTCAAAATGGGTTTGTTTTGCATTGATTTTCATTGTTTTTTGTGGAATAAGTTACAACACAATTCACCTTCCCTCTTGTGTTTCTGTTTAACCATTCTTTTCTTTACATCATAAACCCAATTTTCAGACTTAAGAATAGAATTTCTTCAGTCATGCACAAATTTGGATTTCTTCCCATCAAATTGCATCAAATCTCTCAAGCAATGATAAATTAATAACAATTCATAATATATCATTTAAGGGAAAAATTAAAATATTGTTATTTTAATAACTGATTACGAAAATATATTAATCTATAACTAATTTGCAGAACTATTGCACTCAATTTCGTCCAAAATGGGCATGACCACTCTCACTCAATTTGGGTGAATTATGATCACTAATCTCACATAAAAAAAGGCGAGAGTCAGCAAGCCTAAGAGTCTTGTTCCTTTACAAGTGCTTGTCTGCACCTTTTAATTAGGTATGTCACTTTAATTAAGGTGTACTGGCTCGTAGGCTTCTAAATTTTGCTTCTTTCAAAGGATATGTGAGTATTCCCTGGTTTCATCTATTTCAAAACTGTTTGATAATGATATATTTTTTCCCAAAACTATTTTATAAAATTGTTTATGAGAATTATTTTTCAGAACAAAAAAGACAAAATATATTTGATAAAATTGTTTTGCAAAGAGTTTTAAAAGTAAAAAAACAAAAAAACTTATTTGGCAAATTTATTCTGAAAAATATATTTTCAAAGACAAAAAACCAAAAAATTGTTTGGTTGATAATATTTTTTTTTTGTTAACTCCATTTTTGTTTTCTCTTATCATATGCAATAATTAAAATATATTTTTAAGAGTGACCTCAACTATATTACAAACTTTTTTAAGGCTAAATAAATTATATTATAAGTTAAAACAAATTTATTCCTCACTTAAAGACAACAAATGTATTTATTATTTCCTTCTTAATAAATAGTGACACGTTAATTATTCAAGGAATTGGTTCATCCACAAACCAGCTCATTTATAATTTTAAAATAATCATACTCCTACAACTAATTAGCTCGTGCGATATTTGCAAAGGTAAAATAAAATAAAAATTAAAACAATAAAACATCATCTATTCTCTTGAAGCTGCTACTGTCAGGCTCTATTCAACTGACTAAGGGATTAAAGTGATCTTCAAAAAAGAAAAGCAAAGGGTTTCTTCTCCTCTTTTTTTCCATCTCCTTTAGCTTATAACAAGTGAAAGTAACTCGACCACTTGTTGATTAAGGTGGCTCCGGCAATTGGTTTGGCTTTTAAGCATGTGATGGGATCAACAATAGATGAGAGATAGGTGTGGTGAGGGAAGGCACCAAAAATTTGAAAAATTTGCGAAAGCCTAACCCTAAGACAAAAGAATGGCTGAATATTTACAACATTTTTATTAATGAAAATTGGTTGTTTTCTGTGTTTTACATATTTTAAGAACACAAAGTTGAAAATCAAAACAAGAACAAGTCAAGTTGTTTTGTAATTTCTGTTTTAAAAATTAAAAAACAAATGTTGTTTTCAGAATTATATTTTCAGAACATCACTCCCCAAATGAGTTTTGTTTTTTCATTCTTAAAACTAAAAAGTTATTTTTCAAAACTGAAATCAAACAGACCCTTAAGATCCGAGTCTGATTTAGATTGGATTTGGATCAGTCATGCACTGTGAAACCGATAAACCGATTTGAAACTGCGGGTTCAATCAAGCACGTGTTTTTTTATTAAACTAATTAGGTAGAATTTTGTGTAAAATGCTTAAAGTGGGTACTTATGCTGGTTGAAAAATCAACTTTCCTTTAAAATTAGCATAGGCAATCGAGAAAATCCACCCGCCTCGCACCTATCTCACTGGTCTATGAAGGAGTAAATGGCTAAGGTAAAGGGATTAGGTGGTAGTGGAGACATGGATGAGAAAAATAAATGAGTGGAAGAGTCACTAATGGTGAGAATCAAAAGATGAAAGAGAATGAAATGCCCAATTAAAAGGTACAGACAAGCACTCATAAAGGAATAAGACTCTTAGGCCTGTTGAATCTCACCCAAATGAAGCAAGAGTCGTATCGCCTTTTTAGGCGAGATTGGTGAATGTAATTAGCTCAAATTGGGCATGAGTGGTCATGCCCATTTTGGACGAGACTGAGTGCAATAGATCTGTAAATTGATTCTAAACTGAGGAGGCTGGAGGATTTTCTTGTTCTCTTGAGTTTACTGGCACCTTCTCTTGACATTTGATCAATTGGAGTTTTATGTGTGGAGGTTTCCCTGTCGAAATGATCAATTGAGTCCAATACCACATCTTAACTCAAAACCTTAAGGCATTGAGTTTATGAGTCCTTCCACTTATATATGTTGGACAAGTGGCCTCAAACTCAAGAGGGGGGTGAATTGAGTTTTGAAAATATTTTCGCAAAATGTCTCACTTTCTTTCTTGAAAGTTTATATGATTTGATACAAGTAGAGTCTAAAGGATAGTAAATAACATAAGCAAATAATTAGCAAGATATGAAATTAAATATGTTCCAATGATCTAACAATGCTTATGTAAAAAAATAAGGGTTAAAGAGATTGAAAACGAGATGTATCCTGGTTCGGTCACCACCACTATGACCTACGCCCAGATTGAAGCCGCTCTATCAATTTTTACTATTCGGTTGAGCTTCAAGGGTGCTCAACAAACCGCTACAATATTCTCCAAGACTTCGGTCTCTTGGTGACTAACACTTTTCTTTCAATTACAAAAGGTTTCAACCCCTCTCAATTTAAGAAATCAAATAGAGATGTTTAGTAATGACTAAGTACTCTCAAAGTACAGATTATACAAATTGAGGAACTGATAGGTGTACAGCTTTAAATAAAAGATGAGCTCAAGTGTTTATAATGATCAAAGTATGTAAGAATTGAGCAACGATTGGTTAGAATGAGTAATAAAGGTTCAATAATTGATCTATGATCGTGCACTGTTCATTACTGTTGATGTAAGTATTTATATTGACATCTCCTATGAAAACCTTTTATAGCCGTTGGGATCCGTACAAATCCAGATATTTCTTGGGCCCATATCCGGATATTACATAGTAACACCCTTTTTGCACGAAATCTGGATTTCTTTCCTTTCAAAGTAGTTTCTATTACTTGGGATACATGTAATTGGTTATGGAAACTATCTATATGTAATTGGTTATGGAAACTATCTATATGTGTTCAGATCATGTAAATACCTTTCCAAACTAATTTTGACATATTAAATCATTCATTTTGACATTTTGTAATGCTTAGTATTAAAGATACATTCTTTTAAGTTCAAATGAGTTATTAAGATTGTGACCATGTGTGATTACACTGTGCAAGGCTGCTCAAGTGCTTAAATTATGTTAAAAACCTTTTGATGCACTTTTGACTTATTAAACCAAGATTTTCAAACACTTTATGACTAGTTAACTATATGTATGACTTGAGCTCATGCAATGCTAGAACCTATACACCTTTACTTATCTTTCCTAAGTCCTAAATGAGTGTACAATGAGATCTTGTCCTAGCTTCATGCTTTGAGACTTGATGCTTGACTCACATTGCTTTCACATAGGCTTGAATTCTTTTGGATGTTATTTCATTCAAGGATCTTGAGCATCATTTTTTAAGTTTGTTTGTTATCATCAAAACCATGTTGACGTGACATCATCAAGTGTATCAACTTTGCCTATGTGGCAACCACATCATCACTTTGATTTTTTAATATATTCTTCACTTAGCTCATTACTAATCAATTTGGGACTCATCATACTTGAATATTTCAACAATCTCCCCCTCAAGTGTGAAACCCACCATTGTTATGCTCCCCTTCAACCGAGTACCCAGGCCCAAATACTCAACCCGCCTCCTAGCCAAACACCTGGCTAGCTTGAGGGAAACCCGACTCTGATACCATTTGTTAGGCAGGTCCAGGGGGGAGCCCATGGCGGGGGACTACCAATAATGGGCTAAGCTAAACAAACCACACCAAGTGGGTTCGACACCACATCTTAATCAAAAATCTTAAGGCATTGGTTTATGGGTCCTTCCACTTATATATTCTTCATTTATCCCGTTACCAACCAATGTGGGACTCATCATACTTGAATATTTCAACAATCTCTCCCTCAAGTGTGAAACTCACCATATACTGTCTTGCTCCTCTACAACCGAGTGCCCATGCCCAAATACTCAACCCGCCTCCTAGCCAAACATCTGGCTAGCTCGAGGCCAACCCGGCTCTGATACCATTTGTTAGGCAGGTCCAGGGGGGGAGCCCGTGGCGGGAGACTACCAATAATGGGCTAAGCTAAACCAACCACACCAAGTGGGTCCAACACCACATCTTAGTCCAAAACCTTAAGGCATTGGTTTATGGTTCCTTCCACTTATATATTCTTCACTTATCTCGTTACTAACCAATATGAGACTCATCATACTTGAATATTCCAATAAACATAACAAGATCATTTCATAATACCATAATGAGAATTCAGAATTTATCAATTAAACCATGAATATCTTATTTTTCCTGAAATTTCTTATTAAGTATGAACTTTCAATGTATACTATGCAAGGGCGTCTCCTTATCTATCATATTTTAGGAACTCGGTTCCTAGTCTTGGCCTATCTCACAAACCCAATTTTCAGACTTAGGAATTCTTCAGTCATACACAAATTTATATTTCCTCCCATAAAATCTTTCAAGCAATGATAAATTAATAACAATTCATAATATATCATTTAAGATGCTAATTTGGAATCTCTACAAGCCATTTAGAAGGTATGTCACCTGACTCTTTTGTAGTAACAAAATCCTCCTAATTTGATTGCTATTGGGGTTCAATGGGTGATATACCTATAAGGCACTCCAATATTCAAATATAATAGATCACCGTGGCTAATTTAGAAGAGGATCTCTCCCATTTTGTCTAAGATACACTATTAGTAGCATGATTACTTTATAATTTAATCTTATTAATACTATGACCATAGTTTTTTTAAAAACAATATTCATGTAATTTGTTAAAGTATAATTTAAAAAACAAAAATTAAAAGAAAAAATAATAATTCAAGAATAATGAAATCAAACACAAGCAAAATATTTTGAAAGCAAGAAGAAATCCATACTCTTTTTAGTAATTACCGATTCAAATATAATTTTTTTTCACTACCATCCAATTTAAGCAACTTTAGGTCTACCAAATTTACTTTTTAAAGAGAAGTCTCCAAATATAAATTACATAATTACAAACCCAATTAATAGAAAAATTAAATTAATAAAATCTAATACCAACACACTGATTGCATCACCTCATTTCCTTGGGTTAACACCAAAGTAGTTAAAATTGAGATTTTACGTAAAATCGAAAGGGGATAAAAAAATCATAAAACTTGCTTACCAAAATAAATAAATCATAAATCGTAAAATCATAACTTAAAAAAATCATAAAAATATAAAAGCGTTTGGAATATTAATAAAATTATTTTTGATAGAAAAAAAATCATAAAAACATAAAATTATAGTGATAAATTAAGATTTTAATTACCATGATTAGAATAGTATATCCTGCAAAACAAGAGGCATGCCAACGGAGCTTGGTTTCAAATAGCTATTAAAGTTAGCAACTGGCTAATTTTCCACCCCCTATTATTTATTTTTTCTTTACTTAAACCGGTTAAAGTATTGTTTTGGAATCCAATATATATGGGTACCAGGGTACCACATTGCCTAACCTAGTCAAGGAATTACTGGAGGCAGTATTTTCAATCTACATTAATCATCTTAGAATCTATAGGAAACAAACAGAAAAATGAAGAACTTGATAAATTAAGAAAAATTCAAATCCACTTCTTTACTTCGATAACCACTCACTGAAAAGGACTACGTATCTGTAATCTTTGAGATATTGCAACTTCCAAAGAATAAAACAACAAATGTTGGGGTGCGTCTATCAACCTAGATTGCAAAAACCCTAATGATAGATACTGATAGCAACCCTTCCTTGATGCAAGTCTAAGTCCCCTGGATCGAATTTTTGACACAGAAGTAGGCATTGAGCAATTGTGAACCATACATGACATGTTCTCGGACATGCGCCCTTCTAACTCTTTTTTTTGAGTTAACCCAATTTTAATTATCTTTTTGAGACAAGTTGATTTTCTTCGATATCCCCGTAAATTTCGATTCTTTGAGCCGATTATGAGATTAATTCGAAACGTAAGACGAACCAAGAATGGAGATATTTAAATCCTTCTATAAAAAATAACACGTGGGGATCAAAGATGCGCCCTTCTTTGAGCACAACTACCACGCAAAATCTCTATGAACCCTATGCCTTGTCTTATTGGTTTCTTTCTGGTATACATGTCATCTTTCATTCTTGAGGCAGCTTTTAATGCTCAAAGATGTGTACAGTAGATTTTATTGTGGGAAAAGATTTTCTTTAAAGCTATTAATTTATTATTTTTTATATGCACTATATGATTTATATAATTTCAATATTTGACCACTTGTTGCTAGCTCTAGGACGAAAAGGACCTATATATATAGAGCTAGACATAGTGATATTGAGAAGAATTGGTAATATTACTAATAATAATTAACATAAAGGAAACATCCTTCACTCCTTCTCAATCTCATTTCTATGCCCTTCCTTTCTCTCTTCTCCCAAGTCTCAACCAAACCAGACGAAGCTAGCAATTAGCAAATACCTATTTAATTCCACTCCACACAATCTCTTTTTATAGTCACGAGACACTGTTCATTTAATTTCATGTGTGTTTGTGTTGAGAGAGATATAGAGAGAGAGAGAGAACATTCAAAGCTCTTTTATCTTCCACCATCTCCGAACTAGCCTCTATATATCGCAGTCTCAAACTGAAGTGTTTCATATAATGCTTTAGTTTTATCTTCACAACTGAAGCAAAGTGTTTGGCCCACTTATTACACCTTCATTTTTATTTTTCTGTCTCTCTCTCTCTCACTGTCGGTACCATGTAGGTCTTCGCCCACTACAACTACACCTTCCCACATGCATGCTTCTCATTGATTATCTTTATCTCGTTCTCAAACTATCAAATACACATACTCTTTCTCCTGACTTTGTTGTTCCTTTACAGGAGACCAGAAGGGAACCCATTAGATCTCAACAATATTCCTGATGAACACTCTGGAGATGATAAACATGTCCTCGAAGATAGCTCCTCATCTGGTATACCTTTTTTAATTGATGATGATACCATATATCCATTACTATAAAAATTTCAAAGGAACATTAAAGTTGTGTTATTTTCTGGTTTTGTTTCTTTTTTTAGGGACAACCACACACCACATTAGTGAAAGAAACCATTTAGGAAACAAAACCGAAGAACACAGCCATGGTTTATTATATTTTAACCCGCGCTAAATTTTTATTTTTACTTTTATTTTTATTGGTTTTATCTTCCTTCTTCCCCCCTAGCCTCCTCTCCTCCTTAAGCAAAACATCATAATGGAAAAGGAAAAAGAAGAAAAAGATAACAAAAAACAAAAGCTAGGTTGAATTAATAAATTTAAGGGTTCGCTTTTTCTGCACTTACTACAGATAAGTTATCTGCAGTAGACTCGATATAACGTCGTTTTAATGTTTTTGTAATTTTAATTTATTTCAGAGTTATAATAGTTTTTATATTTATAATTTTTTAAAATTTCAATATTAAGAAATAAATGTAAATAACTTATTTCATTAACTGCAGGAACATTTTTTCCTAAATTTAATTATAATTTGATGGGGATGTTTAATTAATTTAATTTATTCACGATTTGGGTAATCAGGAAAGAAGGGTCTTATCGAAGTTGCTTTAATTGTTTTCTTTATTCTTTTGAAGGATTCAAAAGCGGCGTGAAGGATTCAAAAGACGAGTGTGGGAAGGTCTACGAGTGCAGATTTTGTTCCCTTAAGTTCTGCAAGTCTCAGGCACTTGGGGGACACATGAACCGCCACCGTCAAGGCTAGCTAGTCTTTTTTTCTTTCCCCCCCTTATTTTATGAAGAAAAAAAATAAACCCAATGCAACAAAATCTTATAATAACTATACAATATTGCCTGAAAAAATAAGAAAAAAATTATTTGGAGATACTTTACAGTTGTTAATGATTTGGCCATGAAGCGTGGTCATTTCAATCACACAAAATTGTAGGATTGCTGAAATTCTTGGCTTTGAGAAGATGCTTTTATTTTTTTTTTTTAAAAAATTGTTGCTGCTTTCCGATTTGATTTGATAGTGTGTGCTGCAGAAAGGGAAACAGAGGCTCTGAACCAAGCTCGTCAGCTACTCTACCATAACGATCATAACCTACAAACCCAAGGTGCCCCCCACTTAGGGTATGAACCGTTACTCGCTTTTCTTCATCCTTTTTCTCTTGCCATTGTTTCGTAGCCTTAATTATTCTCGTGACCATCCTAGTTAAAATTCTGATTTAAATATGTTTTTTTTATGATTTTATGATTTTTTTTAATCAAATGATTGCATCAAAATTTCAAAAGCTTTTTATATTTTTACAATTTTTTTTATATTAGAATTTTATATTTTACGATTTTTTATTCTTTTTTTGATTTTAAGTAAAATTTCGATTTTAACTACCATGCTCTCATGACCCATCTTTTTAATCTGTTTCTTTTCTTCTTAAATAGTATTCATTGCACTTTGTAAGTTAAGGACATTAATTCATGGTTTTGATGTTTTTCGTCTTAGAAGATAAAATTATCTTCTAAGTATATAAAAGTGTATGGCCCATGTAAGATAACGTAAAAAGAAAAGAGAGAAAAAAAAGTACGGATCTTACATGCTTTAATGTTGTGTATAAACGATAAAATTATCTCTTATTTTCATTCAAATTTTATAATTCAAACCCATGAAACTTCTCATCCTCTTTTTGTTAATCTTTTGTGTGTTGTTTTGACATTCAGATACGGCAAACCAGTAGCATCAGGGAACTTTCATCCAATAAGTAACATGGGAGACCCAACAATGCGTATGAGATTCCCAGGACACGTGTCTGGTTCATTCTCAAACCACATGCCAGAACCTCTTGTTCCTCCACAACAACAATACTTATATGGCACTGCCCCTTCACGGCGCTTCTCTTTTCCGTCACACTATTCCCAACATCCTGTGAACGATTACTATGTAGGTCATGTCCTTAGTGGCAACCTCAACTATGAGGCAACAGAGTCTGTTTACACTTGCATAGGGGCACCTGTAGGACAAGCATTCGCGGGTAGTGGTAACGACAGGTCACTGCACAATGAAGATGATGAAGGGTTGAATTGGGGAAGGAGCTATTCAGGAACACAGAAGCAGCGTTCAATAGGTTTCAAGATAGGTTCTAATTAATGGGATTCTTTCTTTGAGTGATAGTTTTGTGTAATATCATATGACACGTACGCTAACACACACACACACAGAGAGAGAGAGAGAGAGAGAGAGAGAGAGAGACTTAGCAAACTGACAAATAGGGTCATGAGGGTGTGGTTTTGGTTTATTTACATTTTACTGTAACAAGGAACACCTTTTGAGCTCATGGACACGCTCAGCTAGTTTGGCATGGAGCAATGTGGGGTTGGAATTTTAACACTGGCCTTTTGTATTGGTGTGTGCTGCTACTGCTAACTATGAAAAGCGAGAGGACTAGGAGCTGCTAGAACAGACAAGTTAATTAGATTTGAACTGAAAGTTTCCAACCTACCATGATTCTGTCTAAAATAGCCAAAATGTTAAAAAAAATAATGTTGATCTTGAATCGGTATAATGTTTTGTTACAATAAAGTTTTGAAGATTAGTTAACAATTTTTGGGGAATAGTATCTAGTAAGGATTCGAGCTTTATTAGTTAACAATTTCCTTTGAGTTAAAAAGTTATTCGTCTTTGTACAAAAACAAAAAAACAAAAAAAGTTATTCGTCTTAAAGACAATTATAGTAGAGTAGGTATAAAAATAAAAAATAAAAAAATCTGTGCAACGTACAATCTAGGGAAAGCAAACCGAAGTTCACAGGTCTACTCGGAAATTTTTTTTGTTAAGGATGCACCTTAAATTCGGTGTATTTTTTTATTCATATTGTGATGTGTTTTATTTTTATTAAATTAATAATAAATAATTTATTTTAAAATTAGAAGAGAAAGTGATTTGATATAAAGTAATATATGTGTCACAATATGAGTGAAAGATGCACCGAATTTTTGATGTATATGTAATACCAAAATATTCTCCGTCTACTTAGGCCAAATGCCGCTCCCCCTCGTTTGGTAAAATGTCAAACAAACATGTTGTACATCTCACTAGTTTATTACCTGACCAAATCCCTTAGGTGGTGTTTGGATGGGGTCTTTTCCAAATTTTCCTAGGCAAGTGAGAGAAGGATTCTAGGATAGAAATGTTTGGTTGAAAAGATTCACACAAAAAGCTGGTGATCCAAAATGCATAGGTTTCTGAATTTAAATGGAAAATGATAGGTTTCGGTACTGTTTAAAAAGCGTTTTCGTCCGTGGGTTTTTGTAAAACAACGGCTTTCCACTGTCTGAATCATTTTTGAATAACCAATATACCCTTTCAAAATGCAACAGAGCTGTAAATGAATGATCAAACCATATTGCCTTTCAAACTTCACACCGATGGAAAAATTAAATATAATCAGAATTAGCCCAGAAAGATCAAACCCAAGTATAGAAACTCAAAACCAGGTGTAAAAATTTAAGCTTTTTCCTAATAGAAAGGGATAGTACAGATATTCAATAACCCGTTTTGCATTCTACTATCTGCATAAAATGAGTACCTCAACCGATATTCTTCAAGAAATGCTAACGGGGTAGTTTCTATAAAAGGGCACAATCCAGAACACACAATAAAATTCCAAATTCAACAAAAAAAAAAAGGAAAAAAGAGAGAGAGGAAATCTGAAATAAGAATCACATAAGTGACCTTGGATAGATTGAAGACCAATAAGCAAAACTGAAACCAAGAAGAAATCCTCAAAGAATGAAAAGCTGAAGCAAACAAATATTAAGTTCTTTCTAAAGCAACAGAGATAATACGATGCAATATTTTTCCCCCTTTCGTTTTTATGGTCGTTGGAAAGAGTCAAATATACATTTTTGTAATTTGACAGCTGTGGGGTTTTTTATAATTTAAAATCAGGGTTATTTTAGTAATTTAAGATTGTTTTCCCATCTATATCTCACCTCCAACCAAACATACATTTCTTAAAATTTACCTAATTTTCCCAGTAAAGTTTTTCCCCACCAAACAACTTTTTTTAACATTTTTCTATCTATCTCACTTTATCTAACTTTCTTACCATTTCCCTATCAATTCTATTTCCCTAGTATTCAAAAAATATCTCCTCAACCAAACGCCCCCTTACGAGTTACGATGTCTGAGATTCCAACCTCGCAGAATAGTTAGAATTACCTTAACCAGAATATCCTGTTTAGTTTTCTTCCTCCATCTTGAGATATTAATTTTGTTCTGCATACAACTTACATCAGGCTCATCAGATGGGTCCAACCTCTCAAAGTCTACAGTCTAGAACCTTCTAGAGGGCACGCATGGCAAGCTATAAAGGCTCACCATTGGGTCATTCTTCATCCTGCACTGTTGTCCCTGTACACTGACAGGGGGCAGCTTGATGCATGAGACAGCTCATGGGCTGACCAGCTCAAGCCCCCATGCAAGAGAGGACTCTCCTCTCTTAATACCCCTCTCACACATGGAGAGAAGATCTTCTTCTCCATCTTCTACCTACGCTGTCACTCTGCCCATTGGTAGATCACACACACACCCCTCTTATGCACCATGACAAGCTTCACTAGTGGCTTGGTCTCTACCAAGACCACTATGGACACCTCCTATATCAACATACTTCATCCTCCATGGGACACATCTAATTTACACCAACAATACAAATTTAATGAAATTTCTTAGGTGTTTTTTAGAATAAGATATTTTTCTTGTTTAAAATTATTGAATATATAGATATATAAATATATTATGTCAAACTATACAAATCATTATTTTCTTTCTTTTCAATATTACAACGAGACATTTGGTAGAGGAAAATAATTTTTTACTAGAAAAATATAATTACTAGAAATATGGTGAGAAAATGAATTTGATAGAAAAGTTAAAAGTAGTTGTTTGGTAATGTGAAATATTATCGGGAAAAAATTAAATTAAATTTGCTGAGTATATGTTTGGTTAAATGTAAAATATTAATGAAAAAATGAGTTGAAATTATGAAATAACCCTTAAAATATTTGAATCAGAGCTAATGTTGCCTAATAAAATAAGGGTTTTGCATTTGTCATGTTGCATGACAAATGCAGAGTTTCTTACACATACATCGATATTTGTGCTGCATTTTTTTCCTTTTCTTTTAATTTTAAACATGATGGACCCCGCATTTATTGTCTCTATAGCATGACAAGAAAATTGTCCTACAAGATGATACTTGTTTTTTCATAAAATAATCGTTAGTATGTCGTCTCTTATCTCTTGTACAACTGATCTGATATCGTTGCCTAATAAACTAATAAAATAATCGTTGCCTAATAAACCATTTATCCTGTTATCGTAAAATACCACATTCAAAGCGGATATATTAAAGTGTTTTTCGTCCATTTTTCCACGCAATCATGAAACTCTAGGCAAATAAGTTTGCTAGTAAAATTTTATAATCTCTTTTACCACACATGAACAACATAAAAATCCAATCTCAGAAGTACGGGTATCTTCACAGAAAGCTCCTACAAAAACACCATCAAAAGTATTGCTTATTTAAAAAGAGAAAGATCTGTTTACAATTTTTTTTTATAAATTACATTAAATTTGATCGGTTTACACTCTTGATTAAAGTATGACCGGTTAGACATAGTATAATTTGTAAGAGTCTATAAACAAAAAGTTTGTAAATATAACCTTCCCCGTTTAAAAATACAAGAAAAACAATGTCTATTTTAAAATTCTTAAACGGCTTTATATATATAGTTGGTTTAGCCTTGTGTGCCAATATATATAAGGGTAGCTCTAGCTAGCTCAAGTGATTAGATAGAACGTAAAGATCACAAAGACATCTCAGGGGGCTTTAAGAGGTATAGCTTGGAGTTTATAGGTCAAATCCATTTTTGGGCAAGCCATCGGCGTGAATGTGCAGACAGATATTAGGATTCAGGTGCTTTAAAGTGCAAGACACTGAAGCATTGTGGAAAACATAATGATAATAGGTATTAGCTAGGCACCTTGTACAGAACAGAATACAGACAAATTGAGATGGTTGACGAATAGGCAATCAGAGCAGCTAGATCTCAGCCTTTAATTAACTCTATAACTTTGTCATTTCTATACTAATATTAACATTTTTATATTTTTATTAAAAAAGGAAGATAAGAATGTTATAAGATAATATTTTTCTCTTTTTACACAAGCAATTTTTTTACACAAATACAAAAGTGGGTCCATCAATTTTTTTATTTTAAAAATAATAGATCTCACAATTAGTTATCTCTATGACATGACCTAAAATTTTTTCTACACATAATATTTGTTTTTTCCAATATTAAAACAAAATATACATGTTAGGCGACCACTTTGTTTCAATGTGATCTTGTGACTTACTTGGAGATGCTAGGTTCAGCAATGACATGAGACTAGATATACATGTTAGGCGACCACTTTGTTTCAAACCAGATATTAATTTGTCAACTAATGGAGCTACATCTTGTGCCCATTCTCCGTTTTTTAAATTGACTTAAGAAAATCAAACACCCTTGGCATGTCCCTTTAATTAGAAATTTCGAATTCAAGTCCTAAAAATGAAAAAAAATAAAATTGGAAGAGTTATCTATTTTAATAGGATCCGATAAGTATTCAAACCAAATATAACATGAAAGATGAACGGGTTGGGAAAAAAAAAAAATTTTGACTTAAGAAAACTTTGATGTCGTTACCCAATGGAACATAGAAAAGTATAATCAGTGATTGATGTCTAGATTTGTTTTACTCATTTCTTTTCCCTCTACCCCTCCCTCGCCTGGGGTCAACCCTAGAAAGAGAAATGATACTTGATGAATAGGTGTCATCTAGCTAGGGAAAAGAAGAAAAGGGATAAGAACATTTCGTAAATAACTATATGTAATAACTAATATGAAGTAGGCCTGGTTGAGTAAACGACACTAGCACTGAGGAATGACATCGAAACCAAATGAATCAAGATTTAATGCATAGGGGAAAAGATGAAAGATGAAATATAATTAGCTTTTGACAAAATTTAAATATTAATGCTTCGCATGTATATGATCGTTTGTATAGCCCCCTTTTTTTTGGGTAGAATAGCCTTTTAT